CGAGTCAGCACACTTACTTTATATTGGCAAAAATAGTACGTTTTTGGTGGACGTAGTGCAAATTATCTATAAAGTGCATTTAGTTTTGAATGTGGGCCCACCTTGAACTTTTGATTGGACAAGCAGAGCTGTTAGCTCCCTTCTCGAACCACCGATAATGCGTTTTCGCCGAAAACATTAACATTAATTGATCAAGAGATGTGACCTGCCAATTAACACAAATACAACAAAGTTCTAATAAATGCAAGGGATCATTCAAACACACACCCTACTTAACTGATGCAAGAATTGCTTGGTGTTTTTCTTTGGCTGTGATGTTTATTACATGTTATATGTATTTATGCCGAGCTCGGTAGGATTTATATATGCTGAGTCAACTAAAAAAGAAACGTTTGGGTCGAGACATTAAAACTGTCCCCACTGTGGTGCGAAACAAATAACGTTTTTCTTTACCTACAATGTATAAGCAGCTGAATCTCTGCACTTCTACTCAGCAGACGTAATTCAAATTTAACATAATCGTTTTTATAAGTATCAACAAAATCAGTAAATGCACTATCATGTCAATTGATACTTGATCCATCGATCACTTGATTGTCTGGTTTGTTTACAGGCCGCCATCGCATGGCATGAGTACTGCTTTAAGGCGCCAAACAATAAATACTTACTTTGTCATGCAAATTGTGTGAATGACGGGTGCTACCGGTAGAGCAAGACAAGCTTAGGCTTTTCGAGAACACCTGGCTTTCAGCAGTCTATTCGTATAATTTTAACAGCTAATTTGCCCTTTGCGTTGAATGGAATGTTTCGGCGGACAATCAAGTTTTCCAGTTATATCATAGAGGACCGTAAATCATTTGCAACAGGCAAAACAGCGGTCAGCATCGTCCCATCTATCGACAGGCATGGGATGTCGGGACTTAGTCTAACACGGAATCCCCAAGGGGTAATTGTGAACCGATTAATACATACTTAACTTTTTCACTACAAATGTGTTACTGTGTATAGATAATTAAATTAGTTTTTACTGTGTATACACTAGTCTCTTAACTTACATTATTCGCATGACTCTGATGAGAGGGCGAGTACATGTGAACAATATTTGCTTAAAAGCCATGTTTTCTCTGTTTTTTATATACTTCAGCTCACAAGAATATCGACCCAAACAGTATGTACTCAAAATTCTCCCCAAACCACAAATACCACTTCATGGTTCTTTCGAAACTACGCAAAGAACAAACGCGTATGTGCAACCTTTGAACTGCCAGTTGCAACATGCTTTCATAAACTTAAACGTAAATGATAGTATTCTATGTTTAACCAAGAGCACAAAAAAGGAATCAGGAATGTTGAAGTATGCTGTAACTATTGAAAACAATTGTTTATGTCGAGCAATATATTCGATGCAATTCCCTATTTTGACTTGTACGGTGTTTTTTCAGCTGATCAATTGACTTGCCTTTGCATTTGTTTGTGATGGGTGCCACCGGTGGGGAGGATACGCTCACCTCTTTGCAAACACCTGGTATCATTACTGTTTGATAGTGATTCATAAACACATGCTCATGATGTAGTCGGAATCGTACAGTCGACTCTGGTTTGGGCAGAGTTTTCTAATGGAAAGGGTTTTGTCGCATTTTATTTACCTAATGTCTCCTGAGGTTTGTCGTTATTTCGAGCCAACTATATCAATACAAAAATCAACAACACAGATATATTAGTGAATTTAAACGCTGAAACCAACTGTTAGATACTGACTGTTGAAAATATCTGAGCATTATTCAGAATTGATATTTCTCTTCGCTATTCACCTCGAATACTTCAATGAGTATTGTCCATGTTCAGGCAGGTGTGTGACATATAACTGTTGTTGACATAAGATTACTAATGTGGTTCTGGATATGACTTGCGTGACTAGATATAGGGGAATTGTTCTTATGGTGATACAGACGATGTTACACTAAAACTCCCATTGATGTGAATGTTGAGAAAAAAAACCTGAAAATCAAAGATGGCTGCCACGGATTCTACGTATACCACTCTGAACTTCTGAGACAGTTCTTGTCTTCCTTTGGACCACTAATGCCGTGTGTCGATGTGACTCACAATAATGACTCAAAGTTGTTGTGGAGAATTTTACCTGGTTTAATTTATGTCGAATAGTCATCTTTAATTTTTATCTATTTCTGCAATGCCTGCCGGGACGCATCCTATAATTTATAGAGAAAGTACCATTCCCCTAATACATGTCACTATGTGGGTGGTTGTGTGGTAGCCTTGTAATGAAAGCGTTTGTTCTTCACCCCGAAGGTCTTGGCATGATTCCACACATGGGTAGATAGATTATTGAAAGATCCATTCTTTGTTAAAATGTTAAAGTTGTTTATGCTTGAATAACTATCCCAAAGTAGAATACTCACTCATGAGAGCATCAAGTACAATGGAATTAAGTTATTAAGACAGCATGTTTCAAGGGAATTAATACTTTCCCATGTTATTTCGTAACTGCATCAGTTAAGATACGGTATTTATCAGAGAAGGTACTTATGAGCAAAATTTATTGACCTCGTCTGTTATAAGATTATGAAGGACATGACTGTCTCTTCAGCAATTGTGTTTTTTGCATTGAGCTTGAGTCGATAACACTCTGAATATGAGCATAACCAGCTCCTCAAAAACATTAAAACAATCAATACTGTACTGAGAAATACGTTTGAATAGGCTTCTTCATAAACCTATCGAATGTGTACTTATACCTTTTGAATGAATAATGAAAGAGATTTAAAATGCTTCTTACACCAAAGAAGTAAATGATGCCAAAGAAAACCATATTTGACGTGTGGACAGTGTGGAAAGTAAGATAATGGCTGTGACTTTCATAACGGTTTTGCGTACGGGTTTAGGTCAACAATGGATTGTAAGAGTCTGGTCATGCGTTGTATGGACACAATGGTGGTCGACTCAAACACAAATGTTAACACATGGAGGCAGTGCAAAGAAAGTAAGGTAACACAACACTGTGATGCATGATAAATTTTGTGGCACGCACACATTTCTTTTATGATTGGCATTTCTTGTTATCAACTTACTTTACCAGTGTTTTGTTTGTTGTTTAACGCCGCACTCAGCATATTCCACCAATATGACGGCGGTCTGTAAATAATCGAGTCTGGATCATCAACCAAGTCACCAGGCCTGCCACCCAATCCCGTTAGTCGCCTCTTACGGCAAGCATGGGTTGCTGAAGACCTATTCAAACCCGATCATCACGGGTGATTTTACCAGTGAGTGAGTGGGAGAGTTAAAACCAGTGGGTGAGAGGGAGAATTACATTGTAACCTTGCATCGGCAATGCTTAATTTTGCGAAATTACGAGATTGAGTATTTAATATTATGTAGATTGAATCAAAAACGTATAAATGTGTGAAGCCCATTTCTGGTGTCCCCCGCCGTGATATTGCTGGAATATTGCTTAAAGCGGCGTAAAAGCATACTCACTCACTCACTCTCCATGTAAATAAAACAATAACATTATAATTATGTTCAAATCACATTTCTGTTTCTTACTCAAGGAGTTACAACTCTGTGTGTGTGTGTGTGTGTGTGTGTGTGTGTGTGTGTGTGTGTGTGCGTGTGCGTGTGCGTGTGTGTGTGTGTGCGAGACACCTTTCCAAAAGAACGTTTAATCATTGTTAAGCGCTATTACACGTTTTATTGGTTTTATTGGTTTTAGCCGCAATGAATACTCTCATGTGTCGCTTTCCAATTATATTTCCAAAGCAAGCCACTGTTACCCTTCTTATGAGGAATTGGCTGGTTAAGTCATTGCATCTGAATGTGTGGGTATTCGTTGCTAAGATCTCTTTGTGATGTGTACAAAACATATATTCATTGTAACCCGTCAGAGATTTCTTTTTTCATATTAATCTGTCACAATGTAGTTTGATTAAATGGTGTTGGAAGTTACTCACCCATAGGACACAACTATATTTATTTATAATATGGTTTCTTTGTCTTATGCTGCATTAATCACTATGTCAGGTATGTGGTGGCGGCATGTTGATAATGGAATGGAAGTGTGAGAAACTGACCTGGAAAATAGTTCCTGATTGAAAAAAAAAAAGTGGGAACTCAACTCTACATGTGAAAGGTGCAAACTTACTTTGAAGTGTGAATGTATGATCTTTGAACGACATCTTTGGAGGCAACTACACACGTCTTAATGTGTTCCGTTTTCAGTCGAAGCATGAACACAATCCATACTGACATTATAGTACGTCGTTGCCGTGCTTGACACATAGAAACGACGGCAACGGCACAGATACAGTTGTGTGTTTGGGGAAAGGGATATCTGCAATACTGACACGGACCCACGGCGAGAGGTAGGCATAAAACACGGTTGTCTGTGCGATGATTCAGTGGACATTATCGTCCCCAAATCTAAGCAATATTCACATTTACACAGTATGGTTTTCTTGGGATGATTTTTGTGTGTATTGATTGTACATCTGCTATTAAAACCGACATCGGTATGCTTTATATTATTTACGATGTAAACATTCTTATTCACAGAATGTTTTTACTTGTCTAGTTAATGCTCAATAATATTATTTTTATTGTATTTTTCAAAATTGTTGTTATGACATAAACTAGAACAAATGACATGAACTAACGTGTGCGTTCTTATTGAAAATAGATAATGTATTATACAACATTAAAACGTTCAAAGAACTTAAAAAGAAAATTCTGAAGCTCTGAATGTAAAAGATTCACCATCAAGAATCTGTCCCGTGTTGATTTAGAACTCAAAACGCGTTAAAATAATCATTGTGCGTAAGTAAATGTGCGGGAATAATCGTTACTCGTGACAAAACATACTGTATTTAGTTATTGTTCTTCGATGTTGAGTATATGTGAATAACACGTCAACGGGTACTAAATAAGACCGCCAGTTTCTTATCGATTTATCATAATGCCTGTATAATACCACATGCAGGTAGCACAAAACCATAACATACGGACGAGCAGACGCATCACTGTAGCCGTTGCTTCTGAAAGGTAATATGAATTATGTCATTCGATGATACCGCGTTAACATTTGATAAATAAGTAAAACATAGCACAAGCGAAGATACATTTCTGTAATTAAGCGTATCATATACAGTAATGTAAATTGTATTAAATTATATCATTCGTGTTGCGAGAGGAATATCCATTATCCAGGCTCAAAAATGTTTTCAACATAAACTTTGCTTTTTTGTTGTTGCTTACATTCTTAATTGTAAGAAAGGGTATTTTGAAATGAGATAATCTGTTCTTAAGTTATTTTTCGTTCTTTTATTCATGTCTGAATCCTTGATTTGACGTAATGGCCACTTAACGTTTATCTCAAGCAAAGCCACATTTTTGGGGGTTACACATACATCATATGATTGACGTGTTATGTACATGTATACTACATATTAAATTATATAAAATGTCCATACTTGTTTTTTTCTAGTTGCTACTGCGGCATGTCATATTACTTTTAATCCTAGATTACCATTTTGGAATGCACATCTACCGTTTTCATTTATTAAGAGGCGTGTTCCGCCATGCGGTATACCACGCTTGGTAACAGTCATTTCTGATTGATCAGAATTATGATTTGGTGGACATGAACAATCCTTTTAGATTCTTCGGCTGCCTTGTGCTATGAATAAATCGACACTTACTTAAACAACCTTTCATCTTTTCGCTTTGCTCCAGTACTGGAATATCAGAGTGCACAGCAAGCATTAGATTACAATTTCGAGGGTTATAGGTATTCACAAACGGAATAGTTCTGTGTCTGCGTTTTCATCAATTTTGGTCTTGATATTTCTTGAGATTTTTCTGACCGGTATCCTTGCAGTTTTGAACAGTCACATCTGAAAAAGTAATTCCTTGTCTTCCGTTCCTTGGTGAATTTTATTGATGGCTGTAGTGAATTTAGAATTCCATGGACCTTCTGCATCTGCTTGAAACTTGACAGCAAAATACTGAAAGGTCCATCAAAATAGCGTCTCTTTTTATCTCGAACATCTTCAAAATATATGAATATACGTTAAAATCAAAATAAACAGAATCTCACCGAGTGACTATTTCAGAAGAGTGAAAGTCAGACGTCATGCTTTTTCAATTGACGCGCATATAAAGCATGTGCTATGTTTACGGCTAAAACAACAGCAAAATCGACGTCTGGCGAACGTTACTCAAAATTGTTTTAGGCCCTGTTTGAATCATACACACAGGGAAGTGTTTACTTAGAAGACCTTTTTATTTAAACAGCACAGAATAAACATGTCTGGCTTGATTGAACCAATACGTCAGCTGGTTTCCTATAATGGCGTGACTTCCTCCGCCTTTCGTTTTCAGTGATTCCCAGAAAAAAATGACTTCAACCAAAATGACATTCACTGTGGTCGATCTGTTCGGATCAATATGTTGAAAGGTAATGCCAGAGATAATATCAAAGTGTGACCTTGTCATTTACACTACACAGGGCATCCAGGTTACCGCTGTCCCTATCACTGTATACTCTGCAAAAAAAGAAACGCAAAAGAGGTAAAATCGTAAATATCTGACAATTTTGCCGATATCTATACAACATTAATACCAAAAATGAATTCGTCATTTCTGCATGGATTGGGATTGATTTGTGTGGTAAAATTGAGGTCCGCCTGAAATTTGGTGAACAGAAAGAATGATCGCAAAAACACAACCACGTGAGAGCCTGGGGCCAAATCACATGCACGTGCACGTGCACGTGCACGTGCACGTGCATCATCACTTGTTGGGATATAAAACCGATGGGTTTGCATTAGCATACCATCACAATCTTACAGCGAGTGAACAACATAAACATGCCATGAATGACGGAAGCCCAATGCAACAACGTCATTGGCAGATTGCAAACAGGAGAATCATCTTAAGTTGTAGCCAGGTTTTTCCACGTAGCACCACGCACCATTACAAGACTGTGGAACCGTTGTCAGACACACGGGACAACTCGGGACCTTCCCAGAGCCGGTCGACCACGTATCACTACTGGAGCACAAGACAGATTCATACGGCTACGTCACTTTCGTGAAAGAACCACCACGGCGACCTCTATAACTACGGCAATACCAGGATTACACAGGATATCAGCCCAGACAGTGAGGAACTGTTAACACACTGAAGGTATTCGCGCAAGACGACCACTTCGAGGTGTCATTTTGCATCGTTAGCTGCGATTTCAATGATGTCAAGGTCACAGAGTATGACCACAACTGCGATGGAGACAAGTTTAGTGTAGTGACGGGTCACGTTTTATGCTTCGCCGTGTGGATGGTAGACGTTGTGTTTACAGGCGTGGCGGGGAACGTTATGCACGAAACTTAACACAGGAAGTGGACAGATTTGGTTGTGTTTGTGTGATGATGTGGGCAACCATCTCCTACACTTATAGAACAGACTTGGTGCAAGTTTTGGGGAATTTAACGGCACAGCGTTACACGGATGAGATTCTTCGGCCATACGCCCTTCCCATTATGCAACAAGCGAGCGTCAGTTTCCAACAAGACACCGCCCGGGCTCACACTGCAAGACTGACAACAACCTTTTTCAGGAATAACAACATCCAGCTCCTGCCATGGCCTCCGGGTCTCTAGATTTAAACCCAATCGAACACTTATGGGATGCACTGGATCAACGACTGCTGGCATGTCGGCAACAACCACAGAACCTCCGACAGTTGGCACAAGCGCTGCAGTCAGTGTGGTGAACATTCCACAGCCCACAATTCGGGATCTGATTGCTTCCATGGGACGACGACGCCATTCAGTTTAGGACTCTAATGGTGGCCATACAAGGTATTGAACTAAGATGACCTTTCCTTGAAAATCCACTGTTCCATGTGTGCCATATGGAACCTGGGTCAATGGGAATGATGTGTACAAAGTTTGAACAATCGATTACAGTCTGTTGATTATTTATATGACGTTTAAATTATACATCTAAAATCACTTTCTTATTTGCAGAGAACACTTTACTTCAGCCAACTAGTGCATAAACAGGACTTCTTTTGCTACAGGCATTTTGTTGCCCCTCGATTGTTAGGATCAATTTCACATTGTTAAAAGCAACACAATCTGGTGTTTCTTGTAACTGTTAGATAACCTACAGTCACCTTTACATAACTGACTGATCTGAAAGTCCCAGTCCCTGAAAGTTCCACCATGTCAGACTTTTATAACAAATATAGATATTATTCAAGTCAACTTTCAGGATAATGTTCTTGTTTTAAACATTTTTGCAGATAAAAGAATTAGAGCAATTAAGAATGGTGTAAGGTACAAGATAAATTTACAGAATATTTATTTCGAAGTGTATGTAGAGCTGCTGTGCTCTCGTGAACACCTGATGTCATCACTGTTTGATAGTCATTCCTAAACACATGCACATGATAAAGTCGGAATCGTACAATCGACTCTTTTTTTGGTATGGTAGAGCTTTCTTATGAATATGGAAAGGGTTTTGTCGCTTTCATTTATTTGAAATATATTTTAGAAATATTTCTAGTCAGTTTCCCTGACATGTTACAGAAAGTAAATGTAACGTTTTTTAGACATATTGAAATATGTTCAATATCAAGGTGTCAAACGTGGGTACTCAGTGTTTATTCCTGCTGTGATCCATTCATATACTTTCCTCCGCTATTTTGCCTTTTACGGCCAGTGGAATCCATTTCGGCAGATAATCGAGACTGATGGTGTTGACATTTTATATTTACAGTGTGGTAGTTAGTACAAGGAAACCCCTTCCCGCATGGTAAGTGTTGTAGACGTCTACATATAAAGAAAGGGATATTACTAACGATCGAACAATTCATTTATGCGGTGATTTATTTAACGGACAATTTCAGTGCGAACGGTACTGTCTGTGTTAACGGGGTTTCCCTGTCATGCCTTTTGAGACGCTGAAAGGTTGAAGAACAACTCTCCATTGTTCGGTAAATATTGTTAACAATGTCACAGTTTGACAACATAGTTTTAACAAAAGGTTCAAATACTAGTATCAGATGCAAAAACCCATAAACACGCTTCTTAATAAACCAGTGTTTTATCAAGGTTGCAAAGTTGAGCAAACAGTTTGACAGTATGATTTATGAGTTTATTTGATTTCAATGGTAAAACACCTTGTTGAAATTTGAAACTTTTCTGACGGCCAATGCCCATTGCTGGCGACCATTGGCAATACGCCTGGTCTTAGTATCACCAGACCCGTGAATGTCCGGGTTAAAATACATGAAGGTCATCAGCAACCCACGCCTACCGTAAGAGGAGACAGTGCTTGTCGTAAGAGGTTAACGGGATCGGGTGATCAGGCTAGCTAATTTGATTGACGCATCTCATCGTATCTCAGTTGCGTAGATCGATGCTCATGATGTCAATTGCTTGATTCGCTGGTCCTGACTCGATTATCTACAGATTATCTAACGTCTGACTGTGCCAGGCGAAATTCCCAAAAAATCACCTAAGTGTTCCACATCCTGACCACGCCGGGGTCGTACAAAGACCAACAGGAGAGGTTCAAAACATAATCACAGCTCGACCACGTCCTTCATGCATTTCTGTTGGAATTTCCTGAAGACATGAATAACTTTCATTATAATTTTTTTGGAATAAAATTACACACAATCATGGAATTTATGGAAATTGGGTTAAAACGTCTTTCTAGTGTGGGAATTTATTTTCAACATGTTTCCCCACACACGTCTCACACAAGGAATACTGACTTGGTTACTTGCAAACTACTACAGGTATTACCTGCATGTAAACTCCCACAATCCTTCCGAAGTATCCTCTCCTTTCCACAGTGTTAACCTTTCTGCCTTAGACTCTTTCCAGTTGAAGAGAAAAAGCAGAAGTTTTAGTGATGCAATTCCCGCAAGACAGTATGTTATAGTTAATGAACAGAATGTAATTATCTCATATTTATGCAAACTCAAAATATGTTGCATACACAGCACTTAACTAAGAATGCACAGTATGATATGCACAGTTTTACTAACAGCATCAATGCTATTATAATCACAAGAATGTGTAGGCCGATGTGTATCGCAGCTTTATGAGCAGAGTGGATCAACCAGTGATGGGTATTCCTACAAAAGACAGGTACAACGATGGAGAGATCATCTGTACTTCTTATTGTAAATAAAAACTTAGGTTCTTTCGATGTGTGACCTGATTGATTTACATGACATCGTATCTTGAAGGCTTGGACCTTGTATCCCCATGTGTATAAAACACTGATCATTCATATTCTGACTTTGCCATAAAGGTCCCCTCTGTTGTGTTGCTAAACGACCATATGTCCTGAACATTTTTCTTTACTCTTTTTCCAAAGAATCTCTGCACTTGCTTACAGCAGATATTATTCAAAACTGACACATCAACATAATCAGTAAATGCGTATAATACGAGGGTAGTTCTAAGCCTAACAAACACAACCAACAATTGTGAAAGTGTTTTTACTTCTATTTTTCAATATAATCTCCCTGCTTTTCAATACACTTTTCATATCGATAGTGAAGCTTTTCAATTCCAGTCAGGAAGAGTTTTCTGAAACCACACCGAAATACCAATTCACGCCAGCTTTGAGGTCATCCTTGTCGTCATAGCGCTTACCACGAAAGGGTTCTTTCAGTTTAGGAAACAGGTGGAAATCATTTGGTGCCAGGTCTGGCAAGTATGGAGGGTGGGGAAGTTCAGATTGTCGCATAGCAGCCTTTGCAAGTCGAGGGTGTGAAAGAGGCATTTTCATGAAAAAGTAGAACTCCAGCAGTCAGCATTTCTCGCCGCTTTTCTTTGATAAAATCACTCGGGCGATGAAGTAAATCAGCATAGTACGCACCTGTAATCGTCTTTTGACTTTCTAAGTGGAATTTATGTGTGCCAATTTTGTTCAAATATGGTTAATGTCATTACTCCATGCGCTAGATAATATGCAGTTTTAAACATACGTATCAAAAACTCTTCCATTAGTCAGGTAAGAGCCAGTGAGTAATTCGCTAAAAGTAGACGCAGTGCCAACCTTTCCGTCATAAGTCTGATGAAGGATCAGTGACAGCCAATATGTACTCGCCACAGTTCCATGTTATTGCTGAATATCTCATAGCTCCTCCTGCTGGCCTTCATCTGACACAAAAAGCTAACTTCCTACCTACTTCAGTAATCTTAGCCCAGTGTTTTTAATGTTCGAAATCCTATTACTGGATCATTTATCATTTAATTGAGTGAGTAAATATTTAACGTCAAATCGGTTGTATATCAGCCATATAGTGACGAGCAATTTTCATTTAAATGCTGCAGCAAGGCGTCAATTAATTGCGCACTTTTTCCATATGCGCGCTGTTTGAATGTGCGAACGGCTTGTGATGGAGGCGTGAGTCGCTCTTACAAACATCCCAAGAACACCGATTGACTCCCATTCTGTCAGGAATAGTGGTACACCAATAGTGGTACATACGTATCTAGGTCACTCGACTATGAGTTTGACAGCAGCCATTTTGTCCTCTCGCATGATCTTTGTCACGTGACGACCGAATTGCGCAACAGCGACAAATGGACCGCAAAATACGGTATAGCATAAAACTATCTTTATTAGTTGTGTGTGACCACAATCTTGTGGTCATGTCATTGTGTGCACATATTGCAGAACTGTTAGGAAAATCACAAACACTACAAGTGTGATGTTTGTTTCCTGATATCTGTATGCATGTTCTGTATTGTCTAAAAGAATTGTACACGTGTTTTCAACATGACATAGCAGAAGATACCTTCTTTTCAATAACACATAAACGTATCACGAATCATCTCAAGGAAGAATTCTGGTGCCGAATCGTGTCCATTAGCCGTGCCATGGTCAGCTGATCGTGGGTTCGATTCTCATAAGAGCCAAGATTGAGATAACTGGTTTGTGAGTGCCATGCTGGTGCTAGTGGGTTTCAAGTGGTGCCATCTACTATCTCCGTCATTTTGAGTTTTCCATTTGTTGACGCATTGTAAAATAACTGAAATACTGTCCAAAGCGTACAACCAAACTCACTCATTAGCTCTTTTCTAGCATATTAGTATTCAATACGTGCACATTTGTATTGTTAATATCCAAAAATTTAGTTTTCAGGTAAATGAATCAGCAATTGTTTGGTTTTCCATTATGCTGTCAGCTTCGTGAGAACTGATCTATCAAGACACTGAAAGAACGTTGACATGAAGTCCTACATGTATGGTGTACAAGGGGCGTTCCTGGCCGTCAGCCTGTGCACCGTGTGTGCAGCAAATACGTGCACCGATCTTGGAAATCTCCCTTTCTTGAAGAACGGATATACGTGGGCAGGATCTCCGTTTATGAACTTAACGACAGGTAAATCCAATAGTAAACATACCTGTCTACATAGACTAAAGACCACAATGTTTCTCATTTCCAGAGGATCCTGACCTGATAAAGACCAACGCTGAAGAGACAGATCATCCTAGCGTACTAATTGCCATGACAATGGATTAATGATGTATGGATAATGTTGTCACGAAAAGGGAAAAGACATATTAATTCTATGGATGACATCTACCTAAAGTTAGAATTATTTTTTTCCTAAACCGTTGCCGAATTAGGTAGGTATTAAATCGTTAATGAGAAAACTAAAAATTTGTCATTCAAAGTCAAAGTCAATTCCTCCTCTCTATCCGCCCAATGAAAAGGAACAATATCTCTAATTCAACATGAAAATGAAGTTTACATGTGATAACCAGCACACCGTTCTACATGTATCATACAGTTTCTGAACATCTCACATAGCAACAATATAGTGTAAATAATAATTGTGTCGAGGCACAACAAAGGTATCTACTTATCCTTTGTTTTGTAACTATCTACTTTCAAGTGCATCACAAACATCTATTCATGTATAAAACATTTGAATCGATGAAACAACAAACAACAAACGTTCGCGTAGTATGTGCGTGAGTGGTGTCGTGGCATGCTCTGTCGGTAATTATAATGGGTTGGATTTCCATAATTCCAGTCGGTAAGGATCTTTGGTGTGTTAGCACCATAACCATGTTTCATGGGTCACGTCATTGATCTTGTGGCTTTTCTTCCAAATAAGGCTGACATGCCTTATACAACTGAAATACTGTTCAAAGAGATGTGAAAAACACATCTTACTTTCTCATCAAGAATATTAATAAGCATTTTCAATGTGAATCCCCGTGGCTATTTTTAAATGATTACATTATGAACCATACATTTACATCCATAATTGTAAAGGTTATTGTTCAATTCCAATGCACATGACAACTGCAAATTTACAAAATAAGGAAATTTGGTTGTCTCGACCTCAACATAGATAAATCAGACCTAAACAATCACGGGGTGTAAGTATATTGTACACGCTTCAACTCCAGGTGGTCTGATGCTGTGCGCTGTCGAATGCATCAAGCGGTCCAGGTGCATGTCGTTCAACTTCTACCTTCAAGACGGCAGCTGTGAGATGCGTGACGTGGAGACAAGTGATCCGTTCTACTTGCCAGTGTCCACAGTTGTGCATTCAAATATAAATCAATTCCAGGAGGTATGGATACGCAGTTTGAAGCGAGGTCAACCGTGTCAGTCAATAGTTATTCAAACTCCGTTAATCATACCGAGTTTCATTCAGGTACCAAATTCACATCCCCTATATCGTCCGAATTGGATTCTTTCTTTGTAGCACCATTGATGCTGGGGTTTTGCCAAAGTTTTAAACGACACAAATGGGACAACTGTTGACCTCACTCATCCCCCACTCCCCCACGAATCACTGCGTGGAAAGTCGGTTTGGGGGCGTAGTTAGTCAGTTTGTTAAAGCCCCCCTACGTTCACCCTGGGGACAATCTTTCAGACCCACGTATGCTGGCCAGCTCTGTGTGCAGGGCCCATTTCCACAAAGCGATCGTAGTTATACGATTGTAAGTATGGCAGTACTTTAAAACAATGGCTGGAAGTGACATGTGCTTCCCAGCTTCCCGAGTTCAAAACAAACCCTGCAGCTTGTCGATTGAGGTAACTGCGCTTTACATGTTGATAACCAAGATGTTTGCATGATAATCCCGACAAAATGTCATTTGCCGCTCAACAGGTGTACCACGTTTGTGGGAAGAGAGACATGCCAGTGTTGTTGTGGGATCATTACCCGATTCCCAGGCGTACCAGAGGAGTTGTGAATTCCAACGGGGGACACAGGTACACTCACTACTGGTAGCAGTGACAGACTGACATCTCTTTTCTGAGGACGGCAGCAGTTGATATTGATTGTATGTGGCCCCAGGGAGCACTCAATCAGCCACAAAGGGCAACGGATTCGTTTTGACAATCATACCATATTTGATAACGAGACGATAGCATTACCAAATAATGTTCTTTCCAGTTGACACTTTTTCGTCCTGTCAAATGGTGAACTGATACAATTGAACAATGTTTCATTACGTATTGGTCAGTTTTAGGATCAGGAACATTGAATTGTACATACTACATGTGTTTTTTATTATGGTGCAAATGTTTATACACCCACATTCTTAACGGTTGGTTAAGAGTATATTCACATTCCTTGTTATTCCTGTACTTTAATCAATTGCAGTTACTTGCTCGGACGTGTGAATTCCATGACTGCGACGTGCATGAAGCATGTATCCCTGAGGACGGAGATTATTCTTGCGCTGTGGGTAAGATTTACAACCAAAGTGACGCGTGAAGTCCCGGGGTATAATAGGTCTTCAGAAACCTATGCTTGCCGTAAAAGGCGACTAACGGGAAAGGTTGGTCAGGCTCGCTGACTTGGTTGATGCTTGTCATCGTATCCAAATTGGGTGGATCGATGCTCATGATGCCGATCACTTGATTGTCTGGTTATAGATGGAGCCTGTCCTTTACTAATTGTCAACCAAACCCTGAATTTTATACATTGCGTTTCACAGAGGGCATTATTTTGAAATGAAAGGCCAAGTATATTAATGCCAACTTGATTTGAAACATCTTTCACTAATGGGGTGGCATGGGTGTCTCAGACGTCATAGCCCCCTTAACACGCAGTGCGGAGTTGCGTCCCTTAGGCGTTCCAGAAACATTGATTCTGGGTTCGAATCCCGGTCCATCCCGATTGTGTTTCTAGTTTTGTCAGCACGATACCCGTGCTCGTGGTTTCATCAAAGTGGTAAACATCTTTGACCTGTATCACTTGAGGTTTTCCTCCCACATGTAACTGACACAACGTGATATAACTGAGATACTACAATACGGTGAAATCTCTTCAACTCGAATCCGTTTGAAACAATATAACTCTACGACAAAGTCAGAATCCTTATTTAATTGTGGACTAATATAGATCGGCATTTTGATTGTCTCAAACTACTGATATGTCGATATGTTTCGATGGTCCTGATATCTCCGAGATAAATATAGAAAGTGCCACATACTTTTTGGAGTGGATTTGTTCGTGGTATATCGTTTGCATCAATAGCAGGGATACCACTAGCAAGGTGTATTTAAATTACTTTGTGAACTGTGGGAACGGGTGGCACTGTCGCTTTTTCGCCGCACGTTCATATGCAGGGATGAATGACTTAGTCACTTCAAGCTTGTTTGAAACCGGGATTCGCCTGGGAGCTGAGTCTTGCTTTGTTACCACAAGCCCGTGCTAATGTGCCTACCCCATCCACAGTAGTAACGTCTAGGATCTGCATCACTTTGGGTTATTCTGGTACACGCCATGGGTTCGTGTGTGCGTGCGTGCGTGCGTGTGTGTGTGTGGCGGCTTGTACTACTTTGGACTGATGCCGATTTATAGTGCTAGCCCACTGAGATACCATGCCACAGTTTAAGATGAATACCCCACTCAGAAATAGTATACTGACTCCAAGCCGACCAGTCCTTGTTTTAGCTCGACAGGGTAACAACAAGTACCATCTTTTTACATCTTTTGGTATGAAGAGGCCGGGGATCGAAACCCGCTCTCCGGGCGGACGCTTTACCACTAGACCACGGAGTCTGTTTTTGGTCTGTATGGGTCACTTTGGTCTTAAAACTAACACATCATGACATAATTGAAACTGCCCAAAATGGAGCCAATCACAGACTCACTCATCCTTGACTTGTTGTGTGTTCCTAAAACAGAATTCCCCTCATCTTGTGCCGACGTTAAGCAGTGCGCACCCAAGAGTGATGATGGAGAGTACTGGATATACCTACGCGACTTCAACATGGTCAAAGCCCGCATATATTGCCACAACATGGCGTCCACAGAACCCTCGGACTACCTGACCCTCCCTGTCACTAACTATGGCTACTACCCCATCCTCCGCAACCCTATCTGTGCTGGAGAGGTGGAGGGCCTGGCAGGTTCCTGTGATGGAAACGGTGGGGAGGTCTGGTTCAATAAAATCAAGATCGACACACGGGTAAGATATTATGTTATATCCAGGGTTTAACGCTGCTTTGAACAGTGTTACAGTGATATAACTAATAATTGGAGGGAAGTACAATGTAATGAAATTGATAGACATTTATATTTACGAACGGACATGGAATTGTACCAATATATCAAGAATCAAAATGGGTTCGAATCTTGGATTTGAACCCTTGACAAGCGGATCCTGGCACAACAAGGAACGCTTATCGGCACAACGATTAGCAGCGCTTTAGATCACGCATTCACCCTTAACCTCGATCATATGAACGGAGCTAAACATATTATTATAGTATTCCCGTGACGATCTCGGTTGGAATACGACTATGCTTGACGTATGAGGCGACTAGGATCGGGCGGTCAGACTCGCTGACTTGGTTGATGCATGTATTTGTATCCCAATTGCGTTTGGATATTGCTGAGTGCGGCATACAAACAAACAAATCAATTTTAGTGACATGGTATATGTATAACGATTCTGTATTTGATGCTAATGGAGGCACGGGTGATGAAGTAACTAAGTTTGTTATGCAGAGTTGTATCCCTTGACTGTGCCAGGATACAAATATCAGATTCGTCGCGATCATCAGTATTGGCAAGTGAGTACCAAAGCAGTACTCGTTGGATTCACCAACTGCAACATGTTAATCCGTGAAGGGCGCCGGGAGTAGCTGTGCAGAGTTGCGTGTCTTTTGTGTGTCAGGATCTGATGGCCGTGTGTAACATATCCTGCATAAATGGTTGTCATAGATTGCTATGTCTGGAATTACCACGGTGATAACTTAACTGGATGTGACATGATTTCTTTTTCAGTCACTGAGAGTTACCACAAACGACCACACATTTGCTAACTACACAAATTCGAAATTGCTGTATGGAGTTGCTTCAGATTGTTATGCCAAACACAACGATGGAGTCAAGGCTTCATGCGGACCTCGCGGCATGTTTACCATCGATTTGAGTGGAACTGGCATGGCCGTAACGCCGGAGGTAGTTATGAAACTATGTAAATATTGATATCTCATTGTCATTTCCGAATTGCTTCTGTTGCAAAGGAAGACAACTTATGAGTTGTGTCCCGTATGAGTTCAAAAAAATCTATAGAATCACGTTTCACCCTGATTAATGTTTCCCAATTGCGTTGATCGATGCTCATGATGTCAATCACTGGATTGTCTGGTCCAGACTCGATTATATACAGACCGCCTTCATATAGCAGGAATATTGCTGAGTGCGGCGTTAAACAACAAACATCGTCCGTGCAGCTGATAACAACAGCAAGTATTGAAAGTTTGCTCGTGGGCCAGGTTACACTTGACGGCAATGGATTCTTCCGCGGTGGCCAACTGTCCTCAAAATAATGGGTTCACACTGATTTTTCTTGAAGTGTCTTCAGCACTGTGCAGTAACGTACAGTACAGGCTGACCGATTAATAAAAAAAATCCAAATGTTTTATCTATTTCCGTAGACGACCTGGCTCGACACCGGCTACAAATACTGGATGAACGTTACGCGAGCCGATGACAATACCAGGGTCTACATGAACTGCGGGGGGTATCCGGGCTACTGTGAGGCTGAGGACGGCCTGTTTCTCCAACCTTACGACATGGAAGGTAAGGACTCAGTCACACATACAGGATTTTTACTGCCGTCCTTGATAGGACCATTCCCGATTAACATTTGTCAAAAGTCTGATCAAGATCCTGTGATTCGTAGCGGAAATTCACAAACAATCAGATATTGTTCAGGAAGCGTCCCGATTCAGCCGTTTCCAGCCGAATTCGTCCCGATTCTCCCGTTCTCAAAACGAATCTGATCCGGTTTGTATCTTCCGCATGGTATAAAAGGACCGAATCTGTCCCGACAGCTTACCGATTCTCCCGAATGCGATCCGACAGAGATCAGACAGTGACCGGACAGTGAACCGACAAACTAATGACAAGATCTGGACTCAATCAACAAGAAACGGCAATCAACAATTCATGCCCGTTCATCACGACAGCGTCTCGATCCACAGGACACCGTCCAGATAACACAGGGCATTGTTACGATTTTGATCCGACACAGCAAAATCTGTCACGACATAGTCACGATTGTAATCCGACTCGACAAAGTCGACTGAGTTTCCCGAATGTTACGGGATGCACCATACTGTCGGGAGTGCTTGGCCGACCTCTCTGGACCTTTCCCGATCCGTAGAACTCTGTTTAGAACATATAAGACTGATAGGACATTACAGATCATTGAGGATAGTAATCCGACTTTTTCACTTTTCGTGTCGTAGCGCTGTCTGATCTCAAACGGGAGCCACAATCGGCACAGTGTGAACCTGGCCTAAGCACAGGCTCAGAACAGTCAAGTATAAATACGAAACTGCTTCTGCAATAAATTATGTATCATCTGATAATATGTAACAAATATTATATTTGGGATAACACTTTCTTTGTAAAGTACAGATTCTCGTACTTTTTTAGGTTGAGTCCCAAATATGTAATATATAATAATCAGCTGTCCATACACACAACTGAAACCTAAAACCGATAGTTAGAAACTCGATGAAGCCACTTGGAACGCAATTGTACTGATTACTGAAGTATACTTTCTCGTTTTCCTTTTCAGTTCTTGAAGAATCATCTGCAACCGAAGTTCAGTGCACCAACCCATAGCTGCTTGATGCAAGCATCGCTTGTTTTAGGATTCCTTGGTGACCATGTATAATTGTTTGACATAATTGTTTAGTTACTTGAGCTTCAGTATACGATCTTACTCCTATTGAACGACTCAAGGACATGAAATAACCAGCATAGTTAAATACAAAAGCTACTGATCTAGACATCTTTCATTTAAAATAATAACCCATACCTTGTTTCAAACATGTGTTTGAATTGCGAATTTACGGGACAAGGTGGCGAAAATGGTTTTTTTAAGAATTCTATTCCTTTGTCGTGTATGGATGTGGGGACATTGGTTCGAATTCCAGATTCGCCCTTATTATGATCCTGTTTTTTGTCAGCACCTTACGTATGTCCATTGTGTTCATCAAACTGCCACACCTTGCGCCACCTACGGCTTTTCTCCTACACTTAACTGGGTCGCTGTGTTATAACCTGAAACACGAAGGACGAGAAAGAAATACATACTTCCACACAGTCAAAGAGAGCTTGTGTTGTATAAACTTAAAACGTCTCGATTATACTTATGTGCTTGTTGAAGTTGTGTTGTAATGTATTTGTATAATTTGTTCTAACTGATGTCATGTATATTTGCTACGGGTCGCATTAAACTGGGGGGAAAGGCGTATACATTTCAGTGTCGTTTATATGTAATATTTGTATGTCTGTGGTATGAATTCAAAACGTCAACGCCAGAGAATAACCTCGAATATCGAATATCTGCATAAACATTCCACAGGGCGAAAAGGATAAATTAGTGATTACAGTTATATGAATGGATCACAGTCATTCGCGATGACACCAGGTGTTCGCGAAAAAGGTATGAACTCCTTGCTCAACCGGTAGCACCCGCCAAAAGTTTACATTTTAAATGTAAGTGTTCGTCGATTTGTTGCCTTACGCCCAATAATCAGTGTTTAAAAATTTAGAACTGCTGTTATCGTGCATCGAGTGGTCGAACAACGAGTCCATTGTCCATTTCCCCAAATAGGAAAACTGAAGCAAGTATGCTGTATTCTTGACTTCACATTTTCCCAGCAATGTAATCAATAAATATTCGCGTCTTGTCTCTTATATCCTTCATGCCCCTTGTACCTACTGCCAAACATGCTCATTATATGAAAATGTATTTGTATAGAAAATAGTTGCTTGCCGATTCAGAGCACAGTAATGTTGCTATGACCAATGGTGTTTAACTGACATGAGAGTAAAGACTCTTTTCAGTTGCATATGGGCCCATATGTGTAGTACTGTTGTGGTTCCTGTGGCTCATTACAGAAAACAGTTTATGTTTGTTATATTCTAAAGATTGTTAGTTTGTTTAACGCTGCAATCAGCAATATTCAAGCAAAATGATGGCGTTCTGTAAAACCAGTCAATCCATTGACTGACATCATGAGCATCGATCTACGCTATTGGGATACGATGACATGCATCAACCAAGTCAGCGAACCTGACAACCACGCGCTTTTAATCGATAAGCAAAGTGTTGCTGAAGACCCTATTCTAATGTACTACATACAGTTTTACATGTCATATGTAACCACATAAGTCAGCTCATTTAAGTCGTTTATTAAACGTTATACCTTCGTCTGTATATAGGTTAAGTCACTGCATCTACATCTACGTATTATTAAACTATCAGCACACGGTCACACCTATTCCAGCCATGTACCTAACATTCAAATGCTAACAGTTAAGCCAACATTCAGAAATCCACACAGAGCACGCTCGTTACACAGCTAGGGGAAAATGATGTTTACGCTTGTCTCACTAAGGTGACAATCGCGACGAATCGAAACCTCCCTGTGTTGACTAAATCCTGTTTAGTAACTCTGATAAAGAAGAGTAAATGATTTCACATCACGCAATCACTCAATGCTATTGTCATTCCGCTGCTATTACATGTCTGTGCTTTTAGCTCTTAGCTTTCTTGTTAGTGTCTATACGATGACCAAAGGATAATAATTGTTTGATATTATAGTGCATATTAATGTGATTGTACATTTGCATTGTACAATCCCGTATTTCTTCAATATGCGTGATGTTGCCTTGACTGTTATAACAAATAAAACTCACAGACTACCAATTTCAATTGCTTTGCTTACATGCATTTTATAATAATAAAAATATATTGCAGCAGATAATGAATATATTAAGAAAGGACCATGTCACCAGATATACATAGGGGCACGTGTAGCCAATGTTTTATGGCTCGCAATTCGCTCTGTGGGATGACGTCCCATAGACGTGCCAGGATTCCATTTAAAACTTCATCCTCATTGATCCTTGGTTTACGACCTGCTTCAACTCGAGATTTCCTTTTAGCTTTTCCTGACACGCCGTGATATAAAAGAGAAGTAGTTAAAACAGGCGTTAAAAACAATGTCATGTAACTCATTGGAACTCATCCAGAGAAAAATACGACACTCGACATTGATTAATCGCGACAACTACGAAGGCGGTCCTAAAGATCTCCCAATGTTTGACCGTCTCCGTGGTCTAGTGGTAGAGCGTCCGCCCGGAGAGCGGAAGGTCCGGGGTTCGATCCCCGGCCGCGTCATACCTAAATATGTTAAAAGATGGTACTCGTTGTTACCCTGTCTTGTTACCCCAAAAACAAGGACTTGTCGGCTCGGAGTCAGTATACTGTGCCTGAGTGGGGTATTAATGTTAAACTGCGACATGGTATCTCAGTGAGCTAGCACAAAAGATCGGCATCAGTCCGGACTAGTACAAGCAGCCACACATACATGCACGTCGCTATATAAGGAGACGCGACGTTAAACCCAATTTCACCTCACCTGACAATCTCCCAATGTTTGCTATTCACATTATGTTAGTTCCGATTCGTACTGGTGAGACGTTAATAACGATGTGTGAGTTGCTTTTCGTCACATTTAGCATCGTTTCGAGTAGATCACGAACCAAGTGGTTGATAGCATAAGCAACGATTAATGTCTTCTAGGTATCCACAATGATGACGCAGCAGTCAAAGCTATATAATCTATTAGTCCATCTCCAAAATAAAGGCCAGATGAAGTAGCCTACTGGTCCAAGCGTTCGTTCGTCATGCATAAAACCCGGATTCGATTCCCTGTTATTCGTCATACCCACCGTGATACGGCTGTATTATTGCTACAAGGGGCGTACCTCCTAACACACACACTCGCTCCTTAGCCATAACTTAGTTATGACGTAAAATTATGACCTGTTCATGACTCAAATATGGGTCAATTATTGTTTCTTTTACATCACAATAAGAGGTTGATGTTACAGGATTCTCCGTTTTTACTGGGTTAATCGGTGAGTGGAACTTGGCCCAGACCATATACAAACTGAAACGCTTCATGGAATGTAGCCAGAACGTCATAGGGTGAGATAAATATAACAGTAATTCAGCTGTACAAACAATGTTAATAGTAATTATTGATTCTTCAAATTAAGTGTCACACCCAGATCCATAAATCGTTGATGTAGAGTACCATCTTGTTCGTTTAAACAGAAAACATAACACATAAGTAGTCATGCCCCGTCTCATCACTGGTACAAACAGAGTGAAAGTGCCAATTACTTCTTGAATAATCATTGCTATCACCGTGATCCTTTTCAAAAAACGACAAATTAAATTAACGAAAGACACTTGAGAAAAAGCAAAAATTAAACTCCAGAAAAATAATCGGAAATCTATAAAATATATTAAATGATAAGACACACTCTTACAAACATATCCGTCCAACACAGGTTTTGGAGGAAGCAAATTGGACATGATTAATGTTAACGAATGCCTGCGAACATGATCGACTTGTATGTCAGTTATTGATAATTTCATTATTAGTAATAATTGCCGCACCTATAGCATCATATCATATGTAGTTAGTTAAAACTTGCTCAGCGAACAACTATTCACAATGATACTTCCACGATACTCTTATTTGCCAAACAGAGGCATGGCCAAGACTCCAATATTTCCAAGCAGCCATGCGGTGTTAGGCAACTAACAAACACTAATTAAACGTGTTTATACAAAGTGTGTGAGTGACGGGTTCTACCGGTAGAGCAGGACATGCTGAGACACTTTTCGCGAACTCCAGGTGTCATCACTGATTTTTATATAGTTCCCACCTAGGGCTTGGACGGGTAACTCGGGTACTCGGGTCGGGTGGGTCCTGAGTAAGACCCGGGTACCCACAGGACTACCCGGACCCGTGGTTAGTCACGTGATATATTGTTAAATGACAAAAACTCAATATAGCTCAGTGGTTACACAACAAGTCGCTAATGTTCTCATTTCTTTCTGACGATGAACACATTCCTTTTGACTTGTATATGTTTGAGTACAGATAAAGCTTCAGTCAACTTCAGTGAACGCATGATCTGATTATTTGACACATGTATCTAAATAGTTTTAGCCAAGGCTGCGGTAAAACAATTACCAATCAGACATTTTGTTCCCAACTCTTGAAACTTACAGCAGGTACCCGGGTAGGTTCGTGTAATAGGGGGTCGGGTACCCGGGTAGTAAATTTGGACTCGTCCCAGCTCTATTCCCACCACACTTTTACCTTATACGCCCAATGGAATCTGTTCCGACAGATGATCTAGACTGATTATTCCCTGGCGAAAACGTTTTATATTTACCGAGACGTTTGGAGTACATCTATGGCAGTACATGTCGGCTCTTTTATCGGTCACTAGTTATGTTGAGACCACCCGATCCTCTATCGCCAATTATTACGACAATCATAGGGTAGTGTGACCTATAGTTCCCCGTAGCATCAGTTCAGGTCAGCATCGCAAAACCAATAAAGATGTTTGCTGCTTTAATCTTCAGTAAGAAATATTTCAGCAATGTCATGATCTTGGTCTCCTGTAAATAGTCCCGACCATAACAGTAAAATCAACAAAACCCTTTCCATATTCAATAGAAATCTCTGCCAAAAGCACAGTCGATTGTACGATTCCGACAATATCATGAGCTTGTGTTTATGAATCACTGTCAAATAGTGATGATACCAGGTGTTCGCGAAAGTCTTCTTGAAGCATTAAGTCATTTCAATGACCTGTACTTTGACTAAAGAGGCAACGTGTTGAGACTGACCCTGAAGGTAATAGTGATCACATTTGTATAATGTGCACTAGATTCTGTGACAAACAAACGCATGTCACTCATCAATCGCATATAAAAAAGTGATGATACCAACCGTCTTGAAAAGAGTGAGCGAATCCTGCCCCACCGGTGGCACCCGTCATACACACATGTAAAGGCAAGTCAATTGTTCACCTGAAAAAAACACGGGAACAAATCGTACAAGTCAAAACAGAGAATTCAATCGGACATAATTTTTGTCACTGATTTTGTCAAATTTGGAAATGTCCTCTACATGTCTACCATAAAACTTTTTGAAAGTTTTACTGGGGCCTTGAATGTTGTAACCGTCATCAAACAACTTCTAAGCAAGAGTCGTATGACGCTCTTTGATATACTCGCAGAAAGAGCATGCTTGATTGTACCTCACAAGTTGTGAAATGTAAACACCAAGGGCTGGAGCTGATGGAATATTGCTCGACATGAAGGGAAAGTTGAGTCATCCCTCTTGTCATCCTCACCGTCCACGCCGTCAGGATACCATGACATCGGATCCCAATTTAAGTCGTCTCTTAAAACAATCATGAGATACTGGGGGTATAGTCTGAACCGAAATCCATATGTCACTTATGACATCAGTTCAGGGTAGCCATGGAACAGGAACTGGTTTGTCTGGCCCTGACTACATTTTGATGTAGAGGTTCAACCTTAGGAAATAAAGTGTAAAACGTACTGTTCTAGGCTGATTGTGCTTCATCGTACCCCGACGACGTTCAACACAGCAAACCATGCCGACATTATCGACCATGGTGCCGTTGTACAAAACAACCTTTACTAAGGTTGAACTTAGTTACTAAGGTTAATCTTAAGGTAACCTTATCAAAAAGTTACGCCCGTTGCACAAAACTACCTTTGGACAACCTTAACGTGGACAGGATACTTAGCGGCAACCTTAACTAAGGTTGAACACTTTAGTGTGGGAGACTCAATTATGCCCGTAGTTACGGTTGAGAGTTATCTCCCCTGCTCGCATCTGCAGACGACTAATATTGATACTTCAACATGACACAGCCGTCTACCAGTGCACAGAAACGGTGTCGGCAATCAAACTTTACATCAAGTGCGATCTCGGAAAACACGCTGTTTCCTCAAACTTCTCTCAGTTTCCTCACACATCAACAAGAAAGTAGCCATGTTGAAATTCAATGAAGTATCAACCTTAGCGTGGCTAAGGTTGGGTCTGACCAACCTTAAAATTTTCACCTTAACTAAGGCTACCTTAGCGTAAGGTAGTTTCATGCAACAGGGGGTTAACCTTAGTAAAGGCCTAAGGTTAAAACTTAAGGATATAAGGTAACCTTAGCGCTAAGGTTGTTTTGTACAACGGCACCCATGTGTCCAGTCACCGTGATATACCTGCTATGCGAATGACCACCGCGTGAAACTAACCTAATCCGTTCGTTGGCGAGAATAAAACACTGTGCATGTCGTCCCCGCGAAACGATTCAATGTCTTCTTCGTCCTGAACGTATCTCAACTACATACAACTTATTTCAGCCGAGGAGGAAACAGGTAACTTCCTGTAAGAACACCTCCTAAGGTATTTGATTATCAATAGATCTAGATTGAAATAAATGATCAAACTCCATGGAAGAAAACGTTTTGCTTTGATAATCAAATATAAATGGTATGACTGAATGATATTACCGCTAAACCTGTATACTTCAATACATTTATCAAACGATACGTACAGCGAAATTATTTCTGTGTTCCGGGTTATTGGGTAAAACAAAGATAACAAGTTTCGTTATTATTAGTATCGTTTAGCCTACATTTTACACAGAAATTCATTCACAAATGATGCTTCATGTCGAAATTGATTGACAAAACGGTGGAAACGCGGAAGGGATCTTTCTCTCTCCTTGTTATCTCCCCTGTATCCGAAATGGCGGTGACTGCCCATGCTGAGTAATAATAGTGAGTGAGTGAGCGAGTTGAGTTTAACCGCGCTTTTAACAGTATTCCAGCTATATCACGGCGTGTCAGCTTAATGTGGGAGGAAAGCCCGAAGTGATTCAGGTCTCAGACGTTTACCACTTCGGTGAAAACCACGAGCATGGGTATGACAAACCTAGAAACACTGAGTAATAATAACTTTAATATGTAGAAAATTATCAGTGTCAATTACTGTGAAACAGCTCCCAGTATATCGCAATACGTATCGCAATACATTGCAATAAACTGTTTTGCCAATACACAGCCCTTTAAAAAAGTCATGAGTCAATCTCTGTTTAAATAATTTATTAATTGCAGATATTGATTCATCCCTTGTACATTTTTCGGAAAGGTAGTTATTGTAGCATATAACATCACACAATTATATTTTTCAGGATTATAGATTGTAACTAGTACATGTGTGTTGCGTTTACGTTAAACACGTTTGATATTGTAAGACAGTAGGTTAATGGTTATCACTGGTAAGGTTTAAAGGACTCTTTAGTATTCATTTTCCTGTTCCTCTCCATAATCTTCAGCAGAGTCCATCCCAACCTCCTCGTAGTCCTTCTCCAGGGCAGCCAGGTCCTCACGGGCTTCGGAGAACTCTCCCTCCTCCATACCCTCCCCCACGAACCAGTGGACGAAAGCACGCTTTGCGTACATTAGATCGAACTTGTGGTCGAGACGAGCCCATGCTTCCGCGATAGCAGTGGTGTTGCTCAACATACACATGGCTCTCTGGACCTTAGCCAGGTCACCACCAGGGACAACAGTGGGTGGCTGGTAGTTGATGCCGACCTTGAAACCAGTTGGACACCAATCGACGAATTGGATGGTTCTCTTTGTCTTGATGCTGGCGATGGCAGCGTTTACATCCTTCGGGACGACATCGCCTCTGTACAGTAGGCAGCAGGCCATGTACTTGCCGTGACGAGGGTCACACTTTACCATCTGATTGGCAGGCTCGAAACATGCATTGGTGATATCTGCCACGCTAAGTTGTTCATGGTAGGCCTTCTCTGCGGATATTACAGGAGCGAACGTTGCCAACGGGAAGTGGATTCGTGGATATGGTACAAGATTGGTCTGGAATTCGGTCAAATCCACGTTCAGGGCACCATCAAAACGAAGAGAGGCTGTGATTGAGCTCACAATCTGACCAATCAGACGATTCAGGTTTGTGTACGTAGGACGCTCAATGTCGAGGTTTCGACGACAGATGTCAAAGATAGCCTCGTTGTCGACCATGAAGCTGACATCTGAATGCTCCAAGGTGGTGTGGGTTGTCAAGATAGAGTTGTAGGGCTCGACGACAGCTGTTGAGATCTGCGGGGCAGGGTAAATACAGAACTCCAGCTTTGCCTTCTTCCCATAATCGACACTTAGACGTTCCAGTAGCAAGGAGGTGAAGCCGGAGCCAGTGCCACCTCCAAAGCTGTGGAAAACGAGGAATCCCTGGAGACCGGTACATTGGTCAGCCAGCTTCCTGATCCGGTCAAGAACTAGGTCAATAATCTCCTTGCCTACGGTGTAGTGACCGCGGGCGTAGTTGTTCGCAGCGTCCTCCTTTCCGGTGATCAGCTGCTCGGGATGGAACAGCTGCCGATACGTTCCTGTGCGGATCTCATCTAGAAAGAAAATTCATCAGATGCGAATAATGAATTTCGCAAAAGAAAACTTGGAACTTTATATCCAATGAATAAATGTTTTTTTCTTTCATTCTACAAAACATATGCATATAAGACAATCTGAGGAATATCTACTGACAAAGCAACATGAGCATGTTCTTCTTTAGTGAATACTTTCACCGTGTTTCAAAGTAGCTGTGGCACTAACATAACACCAATGAGGTCTTTATCATTGTGTTGTGCAACCACCGGTTGTCAAATTGAATCAGGCGTTCCTCTATAATTCGGGGAAACTACAGGAAACTGTCTGAATTGATGACATAGAATTATGGCTATCCAGTCGTGTAAGTATACATACACATGTGACGAAAATGTTTACAGCAGTGAAACTCACCCACAACAGTTGGCTCCAGGTCAGCGAACACTGTCCTGGGGACGTGTTTCCCTGCCCCGGTCTCGCTGAAGAAGGTGTTGAAGGAGTCGTCCCCACCCCCGATAGTCTTGTCTGAGGGCATCTGACCATCGGGCTGGATGCCATGTTCCAGGCAGTACAGTTCCCAGCATGCATTGCCCATCTGACATCCGGCCTGTCCGACATGGATAGAGATGCATTCCCTCTGGAAAAAAATATAATGAAAACTGTACGGTTTTGTCAGTCTCCCTACTTTAATTTCCTTCTGAAAGAAAACGTTTGCTTTTGAAGGTATGTGTTTCACAGTTCACCCTGCTGCACTGACTTTGTTAATTTAGTTGTCCCCCCCCCGTTCCAGCTTTAGTCGAGTTTGACAGTCCAGTGACTGACATCATGAGCATCGATCTACGCAGTTGGGATACTACGACATACATCAACCTAGTCAGGAAGCCTGACCACCAGATCCCATTAGTCGCCTATTAATACAACAATAGCCGCCGCCTCTTACGATCATGGATTGCTGAAGATCAATTCTAACCGGATCTTCTCGGGTGCAGCTCCACTGAATGTTGAACAACGCGAGGATAACAAACTTTCTTCATATAAAAACACGTAAGAAAGATTTTATTCTATTCTAATTGACATATAGCACAATACGAAAAACACAATTACGTCACTGTGACAATTTTTTTCCAGAAATGGATAATGAACAAATTGAGTTAAGAGAGGCAGCCATTTATTATATACTTCAGTGTGAAAGACTGAGTTTTCTGAAGTTGTGAAAAGTGATATTTTCATTGCAGTGAATATAACACCTGATATTTCACTGCAGTGAACATAACACGTTGACGGAACTATGTTGGCCTTCACGAGACAGCTCGTACACAAACTGTTGATTTACGTCAGTTCAACGTTGACAAGTCATATAATGACAGATGGTCATTTATGTAGTTAATACCGATTCTTACCGTTTGTTATTTTGTTGAAAATGATTTGTATTAAACTGTGAATTTCTCTTCTGATTTGTCAGTCGATACATTACGTTTCGCAAAGCGCCATTTTGTTACTTGAATTGCGTGTATTCTTTCGCTTCGAACAACCGTCTCATTGATTTGAAATTTATTTTTTGATGAAGTTGATTTTGTATATAATCATATCCAAATATATACTAAAGAAATTTAGTGACATCAAATATTTTTGGTTACTTTTGTTTTTATTTTTTAAGATTTAGCAAAGACGGAACTACATTTTTAGTCGTACTTACAGGGGGTGGAAAACCGTCCATGTGTGTTATGTAGGGAGAATTTACGCTTGAAGGTTTTACATTTGTAATGAAATAATTTAATCTTCCTGCAGACAACTACACCAAAAGTATATAATAAATAGGATATTTCATGTGTCGAGTGAAATATCATGTTTCTCTCATCTCGTGACGGGGGGAAAGGAGATATTTTCACGAGTGGCTACTCGGTGAGAGAAACATGATATTTCACTCGACACATGAAACATCCTCTATATATTTTGTTGTTTATGTTAAATGTGAGCACTCTAGCTACTGACTGAATCTTAAACGTCAATATTAAATATTATCAAGATTTGTATTATCATCCCAACGTAAAACATTGCAATTATGCAGTACAACGTTCTCGTGTGAACACCATCCGCTAAAGTAAATGACTACTTATTAAGTGATACCCGTAATTGACATGCCTGAGCAAGACCCGAAGCAGGCTAACACAGGTAATAATCGATAACTAACACAGTGAACGCTCCAGCAACTCGCAAACTGACTCCAGGATGTGCACGCTCTGATTAACAGGACTTGTCACAATAAGGCTAAACTATTGAGGACGCGACTGACTTATTACGACTGAGGGAAGTTTATAGCGGGATAAGGGTCGGACCAACTAGCAGTCCTGGCAAGTTTGATTCAAACTGTTTGAAACACCAAACTTTTCGTCTCAACTCAAATTATATGAGGAAGAGTGAGTGAGTATGGCTTTACGCCGCTTTTAGCAATATTCCAGCAATATCACGGCGGGGGACACAAGAAATTGCCATATGAGGAAGAGAATGTACGATTCTCAATTTCTTTTTAATGATGAACACCTGTGGTTTTTCACACATATCACATATTACAATGTATACGGGCCTGAAATGACGGTACACCATAAAATCACCCACCCAGTCTTACCCTACAATACACTACATTCATTGTGCACATGCATGTAACAGGACCAGTTTAAGTTGTACAAAAGACAGTCAAAGTAGACACAATTTATGGATAACAACTTCTTTAATACTGTAAAGTTGTTATCCATACATTGTGTCTACTTTGTCATCCGTCAACTTCTAAGTAATGCCTCTAAAACAATCATAAGACACTGGCTGTACTGATAACAATAGTTGTATTACAGGAACAGTTCTCGTGTCAACAGATGCCTCTCATGCTCACCATGATGAAGTAGCTAAGGTCGTCTCGGCAACAGGATCAGTGCTCGTGGAGACCGGAACTGTGGCACGTCCGAGCTGAAATGATTCTGAAGGAGACGACTGATGAGATCAACAAACAAGTTTGTTGTCAACAGCAACGTCGTCATGCTTGCATGATAACAATTGATAAAGAGAGAAAGGATCAAAGAAGCGTCACTATCGTCATCAGTTGTCACGCTTTGGTTGACACGTTGTCATGACAAATGGTTCATCTTCCCTGGTGACATTCGACCGAAGCTCCTGGGTGTCTCTGCCAACAACATATCCGTGGTCGTGGGCTTCACCAAAGCGGTAATGTCTATGGTCTTAATTAATGTAAGTCCCCCCCCCCCCCCCTCTCCCCCCCCCCCCCCCCCCCCCCCAAAAAAAAGTTTGTTTAGTTCAAAAGTAGACTTGGAAATACGTTGACATGGTCCACTAGTTAACATTGTGTCACGCCTACCTGAACACAGTTTTATGTTTTAACGGCATGCAGTCAGTTTGAACGGCGGCGTCTACTTTAAACTACATTTTTATCAACACAATTTTATGCACCAGTGATTTATGTAATTTCCAGTAAACATAGTAGACTCATCCATGTGCAGGTTTAAATGATAAATAATACATAATAGAGGAGACAATATATTTATTTGAATATGAAAACTTAACGTGTAGACCCAATCACCGCTTGAACGGCCGTATCAAAGTGGCTGGATGGGAGTATTATAACGGTGTCATCAGAAAACCCCTAAAACCGACCAGTGTGAACCTACTTGGATATTTATAAAATATGAGACACATAAGATATAACTGAAGTCGAAGCGAAGAAGTGTGTTGAGTGGTAAAGTTATATCATGGCGTGTCAGCTTGATGTGGGAGAAAAACAAAAACTAATGTATGTCTTATTTAGCGAAACCCATGGGCACGAGTATGGCGCTGAGAAAACAGTTTTATAGTCAGAGCGAATAGGAAACTGGGACCCACTTTCAGAGGATCCTTGCACGGCTATGGGGCGCAACTCAGCAAAGCGAATTGCCGCGACACACCCGCGACAAATACCACTGGGCCATTTGATTTACCCTATTGATGTCTCAAGTCATATCCGGAAACACCACCGGTAGCCTGCAGAGAAACATGGGTCATGTGTGAGTGAGTGAGTTTAACTCCATGTTTAGCAATATTCCAACCATATCACCACGAAACACCAATGACGATCTTCACACATTATGTCCATCTGGGGAGTCGAACCTGGAGCCTTTGGAGTGACCGACCAACGCCTTAACCACTACCCTACCCCACAGCCCCAGTCGTCGAAATAATGATCATTGAGTGGATGCAAAGTGGCGCATGGCCGAGTATCACTGGTTTGCAGGACTGATTATTACGAGCCGCTGTGATGTATTTTGAGTATTCAACGTAGAACAATATTCAGACACTCCTCGCCGCGAATAACACTCTCTAACTCGTATTATTGTCGGTTCGAATCCCAAATTAGCTCTGATCACCATATGTGGTAGGCCAGCACTATACGTGGATTTCACAAAAATGGTGAAGCCTGCAACCCGCGTTCTTCCCACATTAACATGACCCGCTGTTATACAACTAACACACTGTCCAAAGCAACGTTACATCCAACTCACTAATCACTTTTTGTTTGGTTATAACCGACTTTTGACTTTATCTGACTTCTTTTTATACTTATTTTTGTATTCCCATACACATCATGTTGTGCAGTACATGGATTTGTTGCATTTTTGTGTAAAAGACACACATCTCTGATGCCCCTTTAAAAAACCAGTTGTTCATGTTGTATGTAGGATAGTTTGATTTGTTGACGGCTCAGTGGTGTATGGTGCAGTAGTCATACCGGGTTCCGTTGATTCAAATGCTATATTCGCCCTCGATTATGATCCGTGGTCTGAAAGACATGAGTCTTTCTTCCTTGAGACGTTATATAACTGTAATACTATTCAGCATATTAATGAATGTTGAATAGTTCCAATAATAAATATATTGTTAAAAGGGTTTTCCATTATATTCCCAGGCCTTCTATACGGAAAGTAGTAATGGTACTTAATATTTTCCGGTTTAGGGCGAATTGTAGCACTCACTCACCCATCCCCCACTCACTCACTCACAGCTACCGACCCGACACTGTCAGCGCTGTGTTGTTCTCTGAGCATGCATCAAACTAAAGTACTGTCGGAAATGCTAAAAAACTGCTTTTCTGGCTTCATTTAATAAATACGAGTCATAGGACTATAAAAAGAGCATAAATCAAAATAACGCGAATTGCCCTAATCTAGCTTGTCCTAACTGACACTGTGATTATCCTTAAACTGTACTTTTACAGGTAAAATGATGATAAACTTCGAAAATATTCGTGTGTTTTCATGCATGAAATGGCCTATAACCTGAGGTGATTACCTAACACCTGTCCCAAGGTGATGACCTCAAAATATTGCTGTTATTGTACTTAATTGACATGCGTTGATGAGGTAGCAATTTAGGATATTACTGCATTATAATTGCTTGGAAACATGATGGACTAGTTAAGAGCTATGAAACGGGATGAGTATTGGAAGGTTGCGGTTTTGGAATCCAGAAGTATTTGTTGTTCTACAGATGGTTTCTTGGGGTAGCTTTTATCTCAGCTGATGACGTATTTGAATCTGTACTTTTGAATGTTGTGTTATGTCTTGCCACGAACCCTGTACATTTAGCCAAGATGGGCACAACAGGGTTGAGCTCACAATGTCTGACTGCCGTACGTAAGACAACGTAACCGTGTTGTGCCGCCAGCACATATGTCATGTACTTTACTGGTTTCTTATTCAGCCGAATTTTCTCCATGAGTTGAACTTTCGTTCCATATGGTCTGAAGTCGACCAATGTCATATATTCCTGTATGGTCGCCTTCAGACTTCTCATGGTTGGGTGACAGTATCTGATCCCCAGACGTTATATTAACTGGCGTTATCCATGACAATCACACTGATGTTGTTTAAAATGGGCAATAGCTGAAGTTCCAACCAGTCTAAGAAGACATCACCTCCTATAATTTCCTTATGAAAATCACCAGTTTTCTTTTTCGCCTCGAAAACATCCCTCAGTAATGCCCATATCATGGGTTGCAGCGTGCAAAACAATGACACGATTACCTTTACCTGGTGGTACCATGGGTGCTTTTTGTCCATCTGCCAAGGTAAATTATCTGGACGCCCTGACTGTGATAGGTATGGATGTTTCGGAGATAATGTGACCTCATAGACAGGATGGAATATTTTCCCCTGAAAAGTGCTCGGTCATCGCCACGCGCAGTGTATCGAAATCCCATCTCATGGAGAGCAATAGTGCAGTCTGGGAAATTAATTGTATCTCTAATTCCTCCCAAATTCTACTAAAAGTCAGGGTAACCTTCTGCTCATACACTATACGACTAATCGCCCTGTATCAAAGCTGAGTAAATCCTTTTACGACCCAGTTTTGTTTTCGAGACCATCCCTATACCTGTTTTGTTTTCTTATCACACCGTAGACTTGATGCTATGAATTGAAAACACCATAGCTTGGGCAGTTCGGTAATTCACCCTATCTAAATTAATAAATGGTTTGCCTCTATCTCTCTAAAGTGTAAAGAACTTGTATGTATTTCCAAGTACAGATTCCATATCGTGTACCTTGGTTATTGCTATGCAAGTGTAATATAACATGCATCATAGGATCAATGTTAACAAATAAAACGCAGCGTCATTTTGTCATTTTAGAAGATGCACATCTAGAATTTTCTCAAAATGATTTTTGTATGTGGAGTAGATGTTTTATTAGACTACATTATTATCATTGTAAGGGAGTCACGTGCGCATATTTCTATAGTCCGTTTCAGACAGCCATCATTGGACTTAGAATAAATGTGAACTTCATGTTTTCGTTCGAATTTTTTTCCTGTAAACTTGTCGATAGGATTTCTTGTGACTGAATGAATGAATGATGTTTATTCTCGTAAATCACGGCAGTGATACAGAGATGTAATTAGACACAGGAATTAGATACAATGAAGAAAACATGTCAGTGGAACATTTCCATACATGATCTTATATAACTTGCCAGTTTTAATAGAATTGGCTTATAAGTAATGGACATCAAATGAGAGAATTTTACGGCAGAAGGATACATACAGTAGTATTGTGGCAAAAACTTGTTTCTAATTTCTGAGAGTTTTGGACATTCTAATACAAAGTGCATTTCATCACATATAAAATTTTTACACACTGTACATGACGGAAATACTTCAAACCACAGGTAGGGCGATCGGTAGTTATTCGATATTTCAATAACAACAGTCTGTGAAAAAATATATCCCTTTTTTAACAGGCAAAAAGCGGTTTTCTAGCATTTCCGACAGTACTTTATCACAAATGGGCCTTCTCACAGCCCACTAAAGTAGTACACACAATGTGGTTTCGCCAACAGCAACAATGAGACTGATATTTTACGTGCGATGCCGTAGCGTAAGGACCCCGTGTGAGTTAATGACTGGTTATACACCCCAGCGACGTATGAATTAGCGACAGAACCCGTGCCAGAGACTGGCTGACAATTCTGACCACTCAAAGCTGTCACGGGACAGGCTTAGAACGCGGAAGTGCACGATGTATCGCAAAACAATTAATAGTAGGATCAGAGGCAGAAATAGAAAACAACCACAAAACAGCTGTGCACAGGATCACGTGCCACCACGATCAATGTTTTTTTATTTATTTATTTATTTATTTATTTATTTATTTATTTATTTGCTAACTACCAGACACAACATTTAAAACAGCAAATAACTTTTCGGAATTAAAATAATTCATGTCACAGGAGCTTATTGAGTAACTGATCGATAATGTATACTACAGAAAAAACTTACTGTGAGTCTATCAAGTGTTGTTAATGCTATGTTATGGGACACCAGAAATGGGCTTCACACATTGTACCCATGTAGGGAATCAAACCCGGGTCTTTGGCGTGACGAGCGAACGCTTTACCCCCCAGGCTATCAGATCGCCCCGCGGAGCTGCGAGTTTAGACCTTGAGGTATTCATGAAAATGGACATAATTATTTGAGAGAGAAAAAAGCCACTAAATTGTTCGCATGATGAATTATTAATTAGTTACTTCAATATTCTCTCCAGAAACAGAAGTGAAATACTGGAATGTCTCAGTCTTGTGGAATTGAGGAGTACAAACAACGTAGTAGTATATTTACCTAATTGTATATATAACTGTGGTGTGTAATTTTGATTCGCATTTTCTTTGACTTTTCCTTTTTGTCACAGTTTCTGACCTTTTCGCATTGGAAAGCTTTTGAGATCTCGAAAGCCTGGTAAACTCCATCGTCAAAAGGACAACATACGCCACCCAGTTCGCACGTGATGCATCACGCTAATTCTAAAATGGTCGGGGATTGTACGCTTTGTGAATTTGTGGCTCACGCTTCTGTTTATGGTCATGTGATTGGTGTTCCTTGAAGATTTCATTTGTATTTGTAACGTACGTGATGTTTTTAGCGTCTACTTTTGGGAACAGTCCATACCCTCTTGTATTTGCTACGTACGTGATGTTCTTAGCGTCTACTTTTGTGAACAGTCCATACCCTCTTGTATTTGTAACGTACGTGATGTTTTTAGCGTCTACTTTTGTGAACAGTCCATACCCCCTTGTATTTGTTACGTACGTGATGTTCTTAGCGTCTACTTTTGTGAACAGTCCATACCCTCTTGTATTTGTTACGTACGTGATGTTTTTAGCGTCTACTTTTGTGAACAGTCCATACCCTCCTGTATTTGTTACGTACGTGATGTTTTTAGCGTCTACTTTTGTAAACAGTCCATACCCTCTTGTATTTGTTACGTACGTGATGTTTTTAGCGTCTACTTTTGTGAACAGTCCATACCCTCTTGTATTTGTTACGTACGTGATGTTTTTAGCGTCTACTTTTGTGAACAGTCCATACCCCCTTGTATTTGTTACGTACGTGATGTTTTTAGCGTCTACTTTTGTGAACAGTCCATACCCTCTTGTATTTGTTACGTACGTGATGTTTTTAGCGTCTAGTTTTGTGAACAGTCCATACCCCCTTGTATTTGTTACGTGCGTGAAGTTTTTAGCGTCTACTTTTGTGAACAGTCCATACCCTCTTGTATTTGTTACGAACGTGATGTTTTTAGCGTCTACTTTTGGGAACAGTCCATACCCCCTTGTATTTGTTACGTACGTGATGTTTTTAGCGTCTACTTTTGTGAACAGTCCATACCCCCTTGTATTTGTTACGTACGTGATGTTCTTAGCGTCTACTTTTGTGAACAGTCCATACCCTCTTGTATTTGTTACGTACGTGATGTTTTAAGCGTCTACTTTTGTGAACAGTCCATACCCCCTTGTATTTGCTACGTACGTGATGTTTTTAGCGTCTACTTTTGTGAACAGTCCATACCCCCTTGTATTTGTTACGTACGTGATGTTTTTAGCGTCTACTTTTGGGAACAGTCCATACCCCCTTGTATTTGTTTCGTGCGTGAAGTTTTAAGCGTCTACTTTTGGGAACAGTCCATACCCCCTTGTATTTGTACGTGCGTGATGTTTTTAGCGTCTACCTTTGTGAACAGTCCATACCCCCTTGTATTTGTTACGTACGTGATGTTCTTAGCGTCTACTTTTGTGAACAGTCCATACCCTCTTGTATTTGTTACGTACGTGATGTTTTAGCGTCTACTTTTGTGAACAGTCCATACCCCATTCATCCACAACTGACCGCCTCTGGGGCCTAGTGGATAGACCGTCGTCCCAGAAGGTCCGGGGTTCGATCCCCGGCCGCGTCATACCAAAATAAGTTACAGGGTGGTACTTGGTGTTTTCCTGTCTAGTGAGGAGGCCAAACCAAGAACTGGTCGTCTCGGGGTCAGTTTTCTTTGCCTGAGTAGGGTATTTAAGTTAAACTGCGGCATGGTATTTCAGCTGGCTAGCACTATAAAATCGGCATTAGTCCGGACTAGTACAAGCATACATACACACGCATGCATGCATGTCGCTATATAAGTGCGATAATCTTGGACGCAACGTAAAACCCAATTTCACATCACCTCACCTCATACCTGCCGTGATATGACTGGAAAGGGCGTACATACTCACTCACTCACTCACTCACTCACTCACTCACTCACTCACTCACTCACTCACTCACTCACTCACTCACTCACTCACTCACTCACTCATAAGCCATAACATGACTCAAATATGCTTCAATTATAGCCCAGACCATATACAAATTGAAACGCTTCAGGGAATGTATTCAGAACGGCATAGGGTGAGATACGTACAACGGTAATTCAACTGTGTAAACAATGTTAAAAGAAATGATTGATTCTTCAAATTAAATATCACACCCAGATCCATAAATCATTTTCAATAACCTTTCACCTCACCTCGCCATGTGATCGTCATCTATCAATGGAAAACACCTTTATCTTTGACCTCCGGACGTGACGGAAACAAAAGTCTGTAAATATTCGAGTCTGGACCAGACAATCTAGTGATTAACATCTTGAGCATCGATCTACGCAATTGGAATACGACATGCATCAACCAAATCAGCGAGCCTGACCACCCGATCCCGTTAGTCGCCTCTTACGACAAGCATAGTCGCCTTTTGCGGCAAGTATGGGCTGCTGAAGATCTATTCTACCCCGGATTCTCACGAGTCGTCAGTTTATAAATATTATAACATGACTTCACGGAAGTAAAACCTAAAAACATAGCAGACATAGGGTTACAACATTCAACACCAAATACAGCTTTCAAAAACGTTCCCAGATTTTGTTTCAGCTGAACAATTGACTTGCCTTTGCATGTGTTTGTGACGGGTGGCACCGATGGAGCAGGATACGTTTTCGCGAAAACCCGGTAACATCTCTTTTTGCTAGTGATTTATTAACACATGCTCATGACAAAGTAGGAATCGAACAGTGGACTCTAGTGGTGTTTTCTTATCCCTATTGACAGGATTCTTATATTTACATCAAAATTTCCAAATGGTTGAGTATCGGCTGAAAAGAGATTTTGGATATTCTACTGTTCATGAGGTGCTCATTATTACAATCGGATGGCGATCTATAGGCAATGAAGTGTGAAGCAATTTGCATGACCTTCACGGTCTAAAATAACTCTCTCAACGTAATAATGTTACTAAGAAATGACCACGATGTTGCTTGAACCGATGTACATCTGAGCACTTTTGACGGATGGCCAACAGTTCAGGAATGTTGAGTTTAATCCATTGAAGAAAAAATATATCACGTTCAACAACGACCTCGACGGAATCATATAGAGATAAGACATCAACATCACTCAATGATACAGTTTATTTTCAATGTTAACGTTTACTCTAAACAGGAGTGCGTGATAAAAGTTTCATGATGAAATTATTATTTTGGTTCCTCTGAACATATTTGATTCATTGACAGTTGATTAAATCTTCCCGCAGCAGATATCCAGAGAACTGAGACCACACTCCACCTCGCAGTGGGGCGTTATGGCTATCAAATTTCTTCCTCATCAGAACGTGGTCTCCCACTTTGAGAGGGATGATGACACTCATAGTCTTGGAGCTGTAAATGTGTGTAATGGTCAGCACAGACTTTTGTACTCCCTGGCTCTCCAGGAAGAACTCTGAGACACCAGGGTCCGTGGTCTCAAGTTGGCATTTCATCAGATAAAGACCTAAAGCAAAACACATAATACATATTATGTAGTATGTTCACACCAATATATAAATACAGTTGTTATTTATCTATTAGCTTTGAGATCAGACAGCGCTACGACACGAAAAGTGGAAAAATCATATAACTATCCTCAATGATCTGGAATGCCCTATCATTCGTATACGTCCGTAACAGAGTCCTACGGATCGGGAAAGGTCCAGAGAGGGCGGCCAAGTACTCCCGACAGTATGATGCGTCCCGTAACATTCGGAAAACTCATCCGATTTTGTCTAGTTGGATTACAATCGTGACTATGTCGTGACAGATTCTGCTGTATCGGATCAAAATCGTAACAATGCCCTGTGTTGTCTGGACGGTGTCCTGTGGATCGGGGCGCTGTCGTGATGAACGGGCATGAATTGTTCATTGCCGTTTCTTGTCGATTGAGTCCAGATTGCGTCAGGATCTTCCCGAATGCGAACCGTCTTTGTCGGTTCACTGTCCGGTCACTGTCCGATCTCTGTCGGATCGCATTCGGGAGAATCGGAACGCTGTCGGGACAGATTCGGTTCTTTTTTAGCATGCGGAAGATACAAATCGGATCAGATTCGGATTGAGAACGGGAGAATCGTGGCGAATTCGGATGGAAACGGCTGAAGCGGGACGCTTCGTGAACAATATCTGATTGTTTGTGAATTTCCCGCCACGAATCACAGGATCTTGACAAATTTAAATCGGTAATGGTCCTATCAATGACGGCACTAAAAATCCTGAAAGTGTGACTGGGCACTGTCTGATCTCAAAGCTAATGAGGGTCTGCTGAAATATGAAACTGTCAGCCCGGGAACAAATCTGTAGGCCTCGGGCCTGCGGGCCGATATCTTTTTCGAAGTCTTAATTCTATTGGGTTTGAAACATCAACAGTCGACTTTCATATTACGCTAAGCTTTACTAAGTCTAAAACATGGCAATGACCATAGCAGAATAAGTTCTTCAAAGAACAAATAAATGAGCAGATAGTCTACAAAATGCTTACCAGTTCTGATAGAGGTCAGTCTTTCGGTGCACTGTTTAACCGTTCTTTAACGGGCGTCCTAAATTGTAGGCCACATTATACAAATGAACAATCGTCCCTCTCACGCATGCACGCGCGCACGCACACACGCAAGCACATCGATACGAATATGATACATAAGTTGGTACAATACCTGCAATTGGAACATGGAATACCCCGGATGATGAGTTATATCCGGAACCCACGTTTGCCTCTACTTTGCTGAATACGATGGTACTTTCAAGTCCGAAAGTCTTGTCACTTGGCAGAAGTGCCCTGAAGTACACCAATGGTCCTGGAAACAAATCGAAACAGAAAGCGGATCACAGAGTGATGGTAATACGTCCGGCATGCATCTGTTGCCCTATTATTAACATGATTGATTCAGTTAACATGATTAGGTTGTATTGTTATGAAAGTCCATGAACAGGTATGTTCCTTGTCTTTGATGGCGTTGAAGTAAAATGGCATAATGATTGCTAAATGAAATCGTCGATCATTCAACGTTTCTCTTGATAGAAGTACAAATTTCAGTTTATTATTATTTGATGTTTAGGTACAACATAAATAACATTTTCTTTATTATCAGAAATATGACTTGAATCGAACTGAGCGAAGAATTATTTCTATTTGAGCGGACTGTTTTGTCTATAACGCTTCTCTATAAAATAACTTGCGTCTCGCACAACTAAAGTTGGGCTGACAAGATCAATTACTTTCTATGCATAGTCTAACTAATTTAAGACTATGTTTGCAAAGTGAGATGATCTTATGCCTCAAATAACATGCCATGAAGTGTAAAGCATGTATGTGGTAAATTGTAATTTTCTGACCAGCTAGTGATATTTTATAGCTACGTCTATTTATTTCGCCTCTTTAAACGGGTCAAATAATTTGTATATGTCACATAAACTAATATTACCAAAGAGGATGATATTCGCATTATTTTCAAGAGATAATTCATTCGGCAAAAAGTTCCTTTTATCACGTCATGTCTTAAAAAAACCTGTACCCCTTCAGGTTAATGTTTCAGAAGGTTAATATTGATGTTTACATACATCACAGACATCCGTGACATCTTTAAAAAAATCAAAATCGAATTCCCTGGGTAACTGTCCAAAAGTTAAAAGACTTAAAAGTCCAAAGACTTAAGACCTTTACAACAAACACCAATAAATGAATCAATATTATAAAATAGAGTATTTTTCAAGGGAAATTCCAAATGTCAACTCTTTTGTGCGCTGTGGAGGGTGATTTATAGATCACTCTCATTACAAAAGATGAATTCAGATTGATTATCTACGCGTTAAATCTTTAACAGATGAATCAAACAAAACGCAGTCTAGAGGCAGCAGAATTTAACTATATGATGTATGCATTCATTTTATAGATTAACAAATAAACATATATTCCTTCCCTAAAGTAATAATCACGACAACCATTAACCATTAACTTCAATCAATTATCTGTATCAGTCAAACCTTCCCTAAAGTAATAATCACGACAACCATTAACTTCAATCAATCATCTGTATCAGTCAAACCTTACCTCTCCCCTGTACCTGCAACCCTGCAAAGCCTACAACAATGCAAAGGCACATGCAGAAACTGAACTTCATCTTGTCCGTGATGCGGCAACAGACTGCTCGAAAAGTTACTCCACTGTCGTGTATAGCTTCACACGAGACTCGGTTTGGTTTTTTAGCTCACCTTGCAGATTGTCATATATAACTGCTGCCCTTCAGCCACACGTTTCTAGATACTTTTTCTGACATCTGACGCTTAAGTACATGTCAATAGTATGACCTGTTATGTCAGTACCACATCAGGAACAATATTTTGAAGCCGAAAGATTTAGTTTCAGAAGACTGGGCCTAATATTACAGATATTGGCAGATGAAAAAGAAATTCCATCATTGTATCCGCAATAGACTATATAAAGAGGCTATTTACTGAGGCAGATCCTTTGGGCCAAATAGATGCATAACTTAAGGATAACTTTATTCATTTTGGTTATGTGCAACATTCATACAAATTAATTGTACTAACCATATCAATATGTCAGGCGAGGTGAGCTACAACCAGATGTCAGACCAGGATTATTCTAAATGGATGATTTTCTGCCACAGCCGGCTGGGTCATGTTCTATTTTCAACAGGAGTTACATACACTGTTGTCCATTTTATATTCTCCTAACCAGAAAACGGCCTGGGATAAAAAAAACCCACAAAACACTAGGTTGTGCTTGTAGTCAGTTCAGTGGATAATGTTAATCGATATTCTTGTCCTGATTATTCGAGAAGAGTTGTCACGTGATAAATTGAATAAACATAAAAACAAATACATGCTGTCTACAAGTGTTTAATAAATTTTAACTACAAATAATAAGATCTGTTAATGTCGTATGGCATTTACATTCATGTCTATCTCTTTGAAAAGAAGATCACGAATCTAGGTAATCGGAATATGTTCTTACCCATTAGTATGGCAATCAAAAAGGATACACTCTATAGTTGATGAAACCAGTTTTGAAAATATTTTACTTATATATGAATATCAAACGCTAACATTAGACAATGTATAAAGCGCTTTTGTACAACACAAAGTACGAGGGTTGGTCCTATGGGCCATAAGAAAGTGAACAAGTCAATGTCGTAAATTATTTAAGTAGTTAATTGCAAGTGTATTTGATCATATGAGGCCGCTTGTATATTAGGGTCAGCCAGTTGAACATGATATTGGTACAATTGGACACAGAAATGGAAAAGAACGAGTACCAAACAATCATCAAGGTTTTGACGTAAGAGAAAGGTATTCCCAAATAAATTCATGACCGCATGTCACAAGTGTATTGGGATAAGTGCCCCAGCTTTTCCACTGTTAAACGTTGGGCAGTTATGTTTAAGGTTTGGAAAAAAGCCTTGATAATGACACTAGTTCTGGAGATAGAAAAACGTATACTGTCAGATAGACGTCTTACCATTTGTGAACTTGTGGAAGACACAGGTCTATGCCATGGATCCGTTGAAACTTTTATTCATTAACATTTACAGATTAATAAAATATCAGCTAGTTGGGTCCTAAAGTTTCTAAATTCTGATCTAAAGGGGAAAAAACTGACATTGAAGAGGATCTAGTCAGTTTCAAGAAGATATTAGTAACGGGTGATGAAACATGGGTCTACCACGATAATCCAGAGTCAAAGGTCAGTCCATGGAATGACACTATTCCAACTCTCCGGCACCAAAGAAATTCATGTCTTCAAGATCAGTGAAGAAAGTAATGATCATTGTATTTTGGAATGCAAATGGTGTGATCCTGGTTGATTACTTAGAAAGTCAAAAGACGATTACTGGGGCCTACTGTGCTGATTTGCTTCATCGCCTGAGAGATTCTATCAAAGAAAAGCTGCCAGGAATGCATACTACTGGAGTGCCTTTCTCACACCTCTCGACTTGCAAAGGCTGCTATGCGACAATGTGGGTGCGAAGAGAGTCCTCACCTCCATACTCGCCAGACCTGGCGCCAACCGACGTCCACCTGTTTCCTTAACTAAAAGGACACCTACATGGAAAGCTCAATGAAGTGTAGTGAAAAGCAGGGAGATTATGTTGAAAAATAAAATTAAAAATACTTCCACAATTGTTGGTTTTGTTTGTCAGGCTTAGAACTTTTTGACCAGCCCTCATATCATTGTGTTATCGATGTTTTACAGTATTAATAATGACATACCTGTTTAAGTTTACAATATTGCGTTTCAGCATATTTGTCATTGTTTTGAGCGTTCCTCGTTATTATCTCGCGCGGTACGGGTCGTGAATGCCCAACACGCAAGATTGACGTCATCAATGTATGAATATCAATGTCCCTTTCTAATAACACATGTCACCGATGAAAGCTGTATTCTGTTTCAAGCGTGAGCTCAACTTATGATAAATATATTCAGTGTCAGAAGGATTTAACACTTAACGTTTTCAATCCTTGCCTCTGTCGTCAAACATAGATGGGACAAACACATGTAGGATCCTTCTTTTAGTCACAGAAGTGTGAACTGTTTGAACTTTTAAAATCATATGTGATAATGCATAGAGAAAGGGAACAAATGCAAGACTTCTTTTGAGGAATAGACAATTTTACAAAATAAGTGTTTATTTATTCAATGTACATGTAACTTGGTGGTAAAGCCGACAGTTCGATTTTCCAGACATTGGTACAGTACCTTAAGCCCGTTATTTCTGGTCCTCATTTGGGATAAGGTTTGAATATTGCAAACGCGTACGGAGGGCTTCATAGGGTTTTGTCTTGAAAGTTTGATATGTTACTAGTATTATATGAAAACATTTTTTCAACTCATCACTGCTAAAATACATTTAAAGCATATTTGGTTCTCTTTTATTCACGCCTGCTCTATCTTGAATCAACATTTCAATTAATGTACACTTGGATTTGACGTAACTGTTTGTTATTTTCACACTCAAGTGATTTATTTTAAATGTTTTCGGAAAACGCGTCGCCAGGGGGGCTTGGATCCGCATCGTATTTTTTGTGGACGTGTAAAGCCAGCCTCGGATATTGCGACACATGGCAGACTGATGTGAAGATAACAATGGAATATTAACAATATATGTAGGATCCATAAAAGTTAAGAAAATATTGTGGATAACGTTATTAGTAGTTAGACAAAACTTTGATGGGAAAAACTGATATATATCCTTGTTCAAGGTTCAAGATTTCCTAAAATCTCATGCCTTTTCGACTTAGGCGACTTACAGGTTCGGGTGGTCAGGCTCGCTGATTTGGCTGATGCATGAGTTTTAAGTCAGAGTACAAGCTCCAAGCTGTCGGATTAGGATTACCTCGACCAATATGTCGAAATAGAAAAAACGTGATACCGAGATTCTGGAAATTAAACGAGAGCAACATCTGGTTGCAGACTTGATTTTTGTCATTTGAAAGGTGAGAAGTATTAGAGAATGAACATGATCTATCAATTATGTAACACCTCCAGTTGGCATCAGATAAACATGGCGCGGTGGCGATACCTGTTATGTTACATTTTCTGTGTCTTGATCGGAACACAATGCACATCCGGTTGCATGTACCAAGCCGTTATGGCAAATAGACAAGTCTGTGTCAGGAATGTATTGACCACTAGCGAAGCATGTGCAGAGTTTTTCTCGACATCAGTTTTGTGAAATGGTCGGCATGGCAGACACTGACAGTGGCGTTTTTCTTTAACTATAAGTCATCGTATAAGTTCATAAGTCGGTTCACTATCTCTATTCAGGTAGAAGTTTTACTCTTGTATTTTGCATTGTAGTATAATGCTACATAGGTGCTCAAACCACCAAATCACATTATAACCATTTGTTTCTAGCATCATTTTGTAGACTTAAGAATTGTAAATTGGGTGCATTTGACTTGCACTGTGTTATGTGGCAGTGGAGACTGTAGTAGAGAAATGTAATAAGAGCAGTTGTCAGTGACAGCAAAATATTGAAGTGCTTGTAAAATTTCAAGTGCACTCGTGGCCAGATTTTTACGGCAGTCGACTGCAGTAAGTAAATTAGAGCTTGCATTGTTTATAAGGCCTCTTAGTTATTCCTACTGCCACTTATTTGACCCCTTCAATTGCCTTGTTTGATTGTAAACCTAAAACTTGGTGCTTCAACATAACTTATGGATTAGTCATTAATCATGTGTGGCCATTTACTGATTTGACAATTTATCTCTGTACGTACGGATGTCTCAGTCAACATTTTCGTTTCAACTTTGATATCACGTCCAAACATTAGGGCTCCACCGTGATCTGAATTAAATTATATGAAAGTTGTACATTTATTTCAGTGCTACATTTTCCAGTGTTTATTTCACCCCAATTGCTTACAGTGTACACGTTTAATTTTAAAGTATGTTTGTTGTTTAACGCCGCACTGAGCAATATTCCAGCTATATGACGGCAGTAAATAATCGAGTCTGGACCAGACGATTATGTAATTGACATCATGAGCATCGATCCACGCAATTGGGATACGACGACATGCATCGACCAAGTCAGCGAGCCTGACCACCCGATCCCGTTAGTCGCCTCTTACGACAAGCATAGTCGACTTTTACGCTATACAGTAAACTACGGTTATAACGAACTCAAATAAAGGGGCCACTCATTTAAATGGTTATAACCGTAGTTCGTCATAGGCATATGTATACGCTTTTACGCTATACAGTAAACTACGGTTATAACGAACTCAAATAAAGGGGCCACTCATTTAAATGGTTATAACCGTAGTTCGTCATAGGCATATGTATAGCATATATACAGCAGTGGTACAAAAAAATAAGTTCGTCATATCCGTTAGTTCGTTATAAGCGTGTTTGTTATAAACGTAGTTTACTGTACTAGTACACATGGTATATTTTTATACAAACGTGCAATAGATATCACCATAATGATTACGTGGATTGCGTTTGTTTCGTATTTCTAAATTACACATCTTCATATGTATGTTCAGAGATATTTCATTCAGAACATTAACTCTGTTGATACACATTGAACGCATTTATATCATCATAAGTAAAGGTGATGACGCAGTAGAAGGCCCTCACGACGGCTTCTATATCCCAGGAAATGCACTGAACTGCGACCTACGACTCAAAAGTTATTTAAGCAGGGTTACAGCATCCAAGACCACAGTAAAGCATTCAATTAGTTTTGTGGTAGACATGAGGACATTCCCTAAATTTGACGCATCAGTGTCCAAAATGATGTCCGATCAAATTCCCTATTTTGACTTTACCATATGTTCCCCGTGTTTGTTCATGTGAATACTTGACTATTTGACAGTGGTTCATAGCCACAAACTTATGATATAGTCGGAATCATGCAATGATAATGGAAAAGAAAGGATTTTGTCGCTTTTATTAACGTGCTAAGACGGCGTACATATTTGCATCATCCTGCAAGTGGAATTAATCTTTACGAACTAGACGCCCCGAGAATTGGGACCATATGCCACCTCGAAGCGTTCCAGGGATGTGGTGACTTTTAACCCAGACGTGATGTCCTGCTGTGACATGGAAGATGGCGCTCATGGTTTTAGTGGCGAAAGAAGAACATGGAAACAGGATAATTGCTTTGTAGGATCCCTGGCTCACCAGTGCGTATTCAAAGCATCCTGGACTGGAGGCCAGAAGCTGACATTTAAACTCGTAATAACCTGAAACAGTATCATAATTCAATAATACGGTACTCCACGTAGTTTTGTGATATTTATGTATGATCACCATCGGGTTGTTGAGAAATAAATCCAGTCCTCTTACCTTTACCCAACAGTTATCGTAAAATCTATATGTCAAATTGCGATTACGCATCGACGATATAAAGGGGCCTGATGTAGATATTTTAGAAACATGGATCATGTCGTGTGCCATCGATCGTGTCTCTTTAGTGCTTGCCATATAAAAGATAAGAGTGGTACTGGATAGCACACTGCTTTGAATTAACTGTGGCAAATCTATTTACGAACTTCAAATCAGGTCATATATTAAGATTAGTCTGTTGCAAAACGTGCAAAACAAAGGCATCGGAAATAAGGAAACATTAACAAAACAGTAAGGACAAATAGTCAGTTTGCTGCCTCGGAAATGACCATGTATCTTACCTGAGAATGGAGCGGTGAATATCCCGGATGTTGGGTTATATCCATTACCAATGTTTGCCGCCACTCTATCGAATACAACAGCGCTACCAACACCAAATCGGGTATCACGACCAAGCCTTGACGCGAAGTACACCCAGGGATCTGAAGGGAAATGGACAAACACAATATATTGTTCTGAAGCCATTCTTACCCATAACGTACTACTTGAAACTGGAAATCTCCCAGACGGGATTGACAGCACCATAGCCATACTTATGGGTGTTTCGTAAGTAGTAAACACGTCTACAAACATTGTCCGAGCACCGACTTCACACACCGGGACATAACTGAAATACCTGTCAACGTTGGGTAAAAGGACGTTTTATGTAGACTTTAGTCACCTGAATCTAATAGGACGGGGCTTTACTTGCATTTATTAATTTGAGTTTACAGTATAAAATCTGGTATTTCTCCTGGCATACAAAATACTCAAATGAATTCAAAGAATACATGATTAAATCTGTCCTGTGTCCTATATTGGCAGGACAATGAATTTGGCGGCTGTTTCATGTTTGGCTGTTCACCCTTCTCGGTAATTTCAATAGTACACCAGTTCTAAACTTCTCATGCATATAGATGTGTATGTTTGATAGAGAATCGAGTTTTTATTATTTCTATTTGACAATATACAAGGCTTTTACAAATATGATATAATTCCAGCTGATGCCCACCTCGGATGCATCCTGTGATACATTTATATAATTTCATTCTCCTATCTTTTTAGTTATTATATGAGGAAATTTAAAGTTATTCAGAAATCACTCCCTGATTTAAAATAATACATGAAAATACATGCATATAAATGTTAATACTAAGTATTGGAACAAAAATTCGTGTTGACGACAAACTTCATGTGCATGAGTGTTTATGTCTGTAAAACAACAAAACACATCCTAATGTTTGCAATAGCACCATACATGTGCGTCGGTAGTTTTTTTTGTTCCTGATTTTGACACTTTCAAGGATTTTTGGTTGGTTGGTTTGTTGTTTAACGCCGCACTCAGCAATATTCCAGCTATATGACGGCGGTCTGTAAATAATCGAGTCTGGACCAGACAATCCAGTGATTAATATCATGAGCATCGATCCACGCAATTGGGATCGATGACATGCATCAACCAATTTAGCGAGCCTGACCACCCGATCCCGTTAGTTGCACTTTCAAGGAAAGTTGATTAATCTCTGTGGGCCATTTTTGTCAATCTTATTGATTCTGCTTATCAAACATTTGTTATTTACGAGATTTCATTCATTTTCTGTCATTAACTAGTGATGTGGCGTCTGTAACGCGAGGGGAGTCTTCGGGCAAAGTATACATATTTCAAAGAGTTATCCTCAGAAAAGCTCAACATTCTACACTTCATATCTCAACATTAACATATTTTCATATGATTCTAGCTTGTACACATCTTTCATGCTTTTTAAAACTCATTACAATTCAAAACACGCTTTATCCACATTATCCACGAGCATTTATGTAGTCGAAGATATGAAAACTGAAAGTTGCACACATATACCACCAGCAAAGACAACAGGGTTTGGCTTGTGTCCATCATCATTTTGGAGTGTGCATTACTGTACCCAGTGCACAAGACAGTGTGTATACATGGATGCTCTCATTTCAAAATGAAATATTCTATCTGCACATTGAATCTATATTCATGTAATATGTTAAAATTTAAATTTATGTTAGTTACATCTGTTGTTGGTAAAAAGCGTAACCTGCTCATCACAGTGTTGAATGTCACATGGGGAGCCTCACTGTGCAACGGGTAACAAAGCTCTTCATAGAAAAAAACAGAAACATCATCCCCCAATGGAAAATTTAAATACACAAAAGGAGCAATTAGATACAAGCTGGAATTAACTTCATGTTATACGTATGTTTATTTACATACATCTCAGACTTCAAAATACATTCAATATCATTAACTCAATAATTAATTACTCACTTAAATATGATTATATGACGACTTCCATCAACAATCTTATCATCTATATCTCACCTCCCCCTTGTACCTGCAACACAGTCCATGAACTCACAACAATGCAAAGACACATGCAGAAACTGAACTTCATCATGTCTATAGTGCGGCAACAGACTGATCAAATCATTGTATCACCGCTTTTTATAGCTCCATGGACACTACATCTCGTTAGGAAATGACAGATACTGTCGAAGCTCACCTTGCTACTTGATTACTTGCTAAAATAGAACAGCCATCCATGTTTGTTTTTGTTGATTTAAAATACTTACTATTAAGTTAACGGTATATATTTTGATTATAATTAATTAGAAATAATTAGAACTTTCCTACCATTTTATGGTGTAATTGTATTCCTGATGGCCAACCAGCAGGCGTTATTCGTCGCCAATCACGACAGCAACCGAACATCATCCCCACAAAAATCTTGGTCCACACGTCCCTCGTAACTATCTGTAATATTCAAAACGCAGAATTCTAAAATATTTCTTTTGACTGATGCCACTGGTGGGACAGGATACGCTCACCTTTTCGTGATTTCCTTGTATCATCACTATTCAATAGTGGTTCATAGTCACATGCTAATGATATAATCGGAATTGTACAAACGAAAGGATTTCTGGCTTGTATTTCTGAGGTTACAGATCTTATTTTACAGGTTACAGTGTCTGGCTTTCCCTATAATGGCCAAAGGCCAAAGGGATCGAGTCTGTGTTCCTTCATAATGTTGTTTTTCTGCCTTGACATTTGTTGTTGTGATGGATATTTGTTTAATAGACAGTCCACATATACTATGACGTCATTGTTCTAGTTGAAATGGGTTCCAGATGGAGCCTTCATCTTGTTTGGAAACAGCTGGTAATCCGACAGGAGAATATGGTTGATGCTGAATGAGTACAAAGCCACAGTCTTGGATTGTAGCATTGTCCTTTTTGAAGAGCATACTCTTACCCATCTTCCTCCGTCTCTTAGGTGTAATTCAATCCCATATTTGCCTCATAGGCCCACCGTTTTTTTGTCTAGCTTTTTGGAGGAGAGTCCACCATGATGACACCCTCGACATCTCGGGAATCCTGTTGGCTGGAAGTTGTGAGCCATTTAGGTTTGATCTATAGTCACATATAGTTGCAAGAACCTTTATGGTTCAGCTTCAAACAGAGACAGATTTTCAGAAGCACTGTGCCCGGGGCGTATTTTATCAGAGTGTGTGAGTTACGATTTATAGTTACATCGGCAATATGTCAGCCATATCGTCACAAAATCAAGTTATACATGAATAATACATAAGTTTAGACCATCAAACCTGTCGACAAAGGACAGCTAAAGAACTACATTATAACACATATAGATTTAAAACTTGTATATAACCATACAAAATGACTTCATAACAATACATCATAAAAGTGGGCTATGGACCACCAGCAACCAAAGTAAGGCCACCATACGTTGGACCATGTGGACGTACGGTACATCTGTTTCCTGAATGGTACCCCAGCAGGATTTACACCATCCCTCTTGTCAATGGCGATTATGTAAAAGTTAAGCATGGAATTAAAACTAACAAGTATACTACAATTAAACCCATGGAGAGAAGAAATGAGGTTGAACTTACGTAACCTCTCATCGGGGTATAATAATTTTACGTTACTTCAACCCTCTTAGAAGGTGAATCTCCGCCCAAAAGGTGTAACCAATATTAGGTTTTATTTTATGTAATGTATTTATACCTACTTGGGTGTCCAACTTATTTTGCATTAGATCTCTGATGTAATATCTAATAACATGTTTATAATAGCTGAATGGGATTAAAAGGGGTGTCACAGGGTGGCTTGGTAATCAACAAAATACGATGTCATATTACCCAAAAGCAAGATCATTAGGTAATTCATCAATTTCGCTTAAAAGTGGATGTTCACACTGACATATTTCATATCCTGAAGGCACGAAAGATAATTTGTAAATAATAAGAATATTTATGTTTAGATTGGTTATTGGTATATTTTAGAACTGTAACAATAACAACTGTTTACAGCTGTGATAATGGGGCTGTTATCTGATAATCTTGAAGATATTGTCCTGAATCTCAATGGCAGTGACACTAAGAAATGAGCCACCATCCTTGATCCTTGGATCTGTAAATATAGATCTGTAAGTGTAATATTTGTAATAGTGTATATGGAAATTCCAAATTGTCAACTTTTTTTGTGGGCGGTGGACGGAGATTTAAAGATCATTCACATTACAAAACATGAACACAGATCGATTATCTACGCGTTAAATCTTTAATCAAACGAAATGCAGACAAGAGACAGCAGAAATTAACTATATGATGTATGCATTCATTTTCTAGATTAACAAATAAACATATATTCCTTCCCTAAGGTAATAA